CTCATAGCATTTCCAAATTGTTGTCTGCGTTTTTTGTGCTCTCTGTTGACCTATTCATGCCGCACATTTTTCATAGAATCAAAGACGACCTTCGAGTGGTTTCTTAGTTTTCATGTTTCATGGGACATGTAGATCTTGGATAAATCTGCCATTAAACATTCAAAGTTTAAGTTTAAATATTATAGAGAGTTTAACTCCAGTTTATTGGATTATTTAATTATAATTAGTAATAACTCCACCATAATAGATTAGAGTTTAACTCCACCATATTGGATTAGAGCTTAACTCCCCCATATTGGATTAGAGCTTAACTCCCCCATATTGGATTAGAGTTTAACTCCACCATATAGGATTAGAGTTTAACTCCCCCATATTAGATTAGAGTTTAACTCCACCATATTGTTATAGTTTAACTCCACCATATTGGATTATAGTTTAACTCCACCATATTGGATTAGAGTTTAACTCCACCATATTGGATTAGAGTTTAACTCCACCATATTGGATTAGAGTTGAACTCTTTACTTCTTTTTACATAAAATATTTAACATGAATTTCTTTACTGTAAGTTTTGTGTGTAAAGTGGCAAACATTTCACATTGTTTATTTTACTTTGTACACTGTTTACACAACTCTTTGTAAAAATACTATAATTTGATATATTCTAAATATTACCAAGACGTTTTAAGTGTTCACGTGTGTGTAAATATATATTAATGCTGTTAAACAGATAAGTCCACAACAACAACAACATGTGTCTGCCTTTAAGCCTAATCATCGTATTCCCCTAGTTTTACAGATTAGTACATAGGGTGTCTATGATAGGAGACAGGAAACAGGAGACAGGAGATAGGAAACAGGAGACATGAGAAAGGAGAAAGGAGAAAGGAGAAAGAAGAAAGAAGAAAGGAGACAGGAGACAGGAGACAGGAGACAGGAGACAGGAGACAGGATATAAGAGAAAATGCTCTATGGCCAGAGAAAGAGAAGAGGGAGAGTAGGGGTTATATTTACAAAAAATCTACATTTAATTTATTTTGATTAACTTCGGTCTGATAATATGTATATTTTGTTCGTTCCTTTACTGACATTTTTGTGCATTTTTATTTTCTATTCCCCGCATTTATTATTTAGAAGGAGGGTTCTACAAATGGATTATTCAAAAGGTATCCGTCCATGCATTATATATGATGAAACTAAACTAGCACAATACAAAATTTATAATATTCCAACTTAACAGAACTGGAGTTTGAAAAGTATAAACTCCAGTAAACCACGGTTTTAGATATTTTTACGCCCCAGTAAAGCCCCAGAGCTAAGACTCGAGCTCGAGGTAGACTCGAGTTTTAGTTTTTGACTTATGGTTAAGAGCGGTGGATCGTAAATTTTGTAAAAAAAAGTGCTTTATCATTTGAAATCTGAAAACGTATTTTTAGTGTGAGAATACTTTGATTCTTGAAAATAAGCACACTATGGACAAAAATACTTTCAAAATAATTAAAAATTGAATGGGGTTTTATCATTGGCCGTATAATTGTCATGTTCAACAAACTAAAGGCCATCTAGTTCAGATGAACAAATTTAAGACTCGAGAGAGAATCGGGTGTAACTAAGCCTTGACTTTGAAAATCTCAGCTCCGTACAAATAACAATTCTATGTACACATGTACAGTGCACAGCCACAGAACCCCAAAATTTAAAAGAGTATCATAGAACGAAACTCCCGAGTTTCCTTTTTGGGGTCCAAACATTTGTGTAGATTTTGATTAAAGAGATTTAAAAAAATGAAGTATATGAAGAAATTGAATAAACAAATATTTCATAACAAAATATTGATATCCGCAAAACTGCCTAACCCCATTCTTAAAAAAACCCGGGTTCCAAAACTGGTTGTTTTCATAACGAAAACCTGTCTTAAGTTTTGGGCTCTGGCTTTACTTTGAAAATCTCAGCTCCGTACAAATAAGAATTCTATGTACACATTGTACAGTGTACAGCCACAGGGTTCCCCACTAAGAGTTTAACGACCATCTAAATACCACCAAGGATGTAAGGCAAGGAAAGTTATTTCAGAAGTGTACACATCTTTAGTACTGCAGTGTACTGTCTCTGGGCGCTAATGTAAACACAAGACGGATGTCGAAACCTGACATGGGATCCATCATTCACATAAAAAATCAATGAAATATTCTGGTCATAGGAAACTATTATGTGAATTATCAAAATTATCAAAATTTAATGCTTTTAACCTCCCCGGATACTAAACGAACACTGATGCATCTACTATTGTTTACAAATTCCGCCCAAAGAGAACTGGTTTCAATATGTACACAGAGTATACACAACCGCAATTGACTTTCCTTGCCTTACATTCTTGAATACCACGATCTAAAGATTAAATTAAGTCTTATTTTTCAAAACAATCTTAAATTGAAAATGGCTTTGTAAAAAACTTTTTCATGTTTAGGTGAAACAAGCCAAGAGCTTTTGAAACAACTTTTTTTCTCATTCTTTGTTGGTAACTTAAATAACCTCTATTGTTTGACAGTGCCTCACATTAATCCAGTAAATATAGTCCTGTGTATTTGTGTGCAAGGTTGATATAGTGAATTTTAGCATCTCTGACAAGCAAGAAAATGGCTGATATTCTTTTATTTCCAGATAAAAACCTATAAGGGTCACTTAAATTGCATTGACCATCCCGTCTCATGTTTTTAGTGTACAATTAATCCCCCCCCCNCCTGGCAACCTCCTTAAACTTTACTCCAGCACCTTCTTGGGGAATAAAATTACAAGTGGGGGAATCTTCGGAACGTCATGGGGAAAACATAAGCTAAGAAGGGAAGCGGGGAATATTGTAAATTATTTAAAACTGAAAAATAAATGATTTCGAATAAGTAGAAACTTAAAGAAAAGGAGAGAAAAAGATATAAAAAATTTGAAGAAAATGAATGAAGCAAAAATAGAAATGAAATTAAAAACAGTCAAAAAAAAAAGGAGGAAGGAAGTAAAATGGAGAAGAAAAACGAAAGATTAAGGAAGTTAGGAGGAGGGGGGAGGTGAAATTATATTGAAAGGGAGGCGATGGGGAGGGGAGTGGGAGGAAATATTTTTTCCTTCTGATTTCTAAATTTTTTTCTAATTTTAATATTAATTATGAATTTTTTTCGTGCCACTTTTTCGTTATATTTATTTTTGAAATAAAACTCATATTTTGGAATGTTTCCCTTTAAGTATATACTAGGAAGGGAGGGACGAGGGAGGGAACCCCTGGACGCCATGAGCCTCCGCCGTGCAGACATGAGCCTTATTTTCAACATAGTGGCATAAGAATTTTTTCCTATTTTTTTAGATTCAGATTATTTGTCAATGTCAACTATTTTATATTATCTTAATCTGATAAACATTTCAAAAAAGATATTGCTTAAATCAAAGATTATAAAATATCAAATAAAATTAATTTCAGATTTTTTTGAAATTTCATAAACCAATTTATCAGCCATACTTAGTCACTGTTTATAATAAATACTTTTGATCTTTGATAAAATGTTCATGCCACTATTTCGAAAAAAATACAAAAATTCTTTACTACATGTAAAACCAAGAGTTTTAAGGAAACTATTCTGTATAGCAGAGGCTCGTTTACTGTAAAGCGGAGGCTCTCACTGCATGGAGGGGGCTCAGTCTGCCTAGCAAATCTTGGAGGCTCGTGCTGCTTAGTGGAGGCTCATGGCGTCCGGTGGTTCCCTCCCTCCACGGATTTGGGAGTAACATAATATATGTTTCGTAAATACTTAAAGCCTGTGTACACTCAATCTTAGCTTTCATCTAAAGGGTGACTCCGAAAAAATACATTTCAGCTACAGCGTGACACCGAGAAAAACGCATTTTCAAGCTAAATATTGACCCCGGTGAAAAATAACTTTTTATAACAGTTTATGAGAGTGATCCCGAAAAATACATACCTGACAGGAACTGGGTGACCCTAAAAAGTGACCTCCTGGACCTCCTGGACTTCCTTGACCTCCTTGACCTCCTTGACCTTCTTGACCTCCTTGTCCTCCTTGTCCTCCTTGACCTTCTTGACCTCATTGACCTCCTTTACCTCCTTGACCTCCTTGACTTCCTCGACCTCCTTTACCTCCTTTACCTCCTTGACCTCCTTGACCTCCCTTGACCTCCTGGACCTTCTTAATCTACTTGACCTCTTGGATTTCCTGGACCTTCTGGACATCTTGGACCTCCTTAACTCTTGGACCTCTTAACCTTCTGGACCCATCATTTTGATATATCATGTTGTAGAAAATTCCCCCCTGACTTGATAGTCCGTATGCTACATCTCTATTATTCTAGGTAACTAAGTATAAACAGTACACACCAAGGCTAATTATTACCTTGATAATTAGACCAAAGATTGATGAGTTGCAAATGATTTACTTTATTTCTTAAAGGGACTCAAGACTAAATTTCAAGTGCTCTCCATTTAAAGGGTGGTATATCTTGTTCATAAACGGCACTCTTTAAATCTGTGTCTTAAACAGCAGAGAAATCCACGCTAAAGATGAATTGACTAATTTTTACATATTTAAAGATGAATTGACTAATTTTTACATATTTGAAGATGAATTAACTAAATTTTACATATTTAAAGATGAATTAACTAATTTTTACATATTTAAAGATGAATTAACTAATTTTTACAAATTTAAAGATAAATTAACTAATTTCCAATGTCCAACGCAGCAGTTAAAAATTTCAATGAAAACATTAGGGTTCTGTGACTCCCCGCATTTGAAAATACAATGATACTTTTTTTCAAACATAAAACAGCTTGCATACGAAGTTATCAACGATTCCAACCGTTTTTGCCCAAAAAGTAAGAATAACTCCGTCTTTCTTAATCAGCAAGGTTTAGAAAATATGTGTCCGACTCCGAACATCTTTTTCATGGAAAAATTGTAGTAATTAGTAAACAGTTTAAAACATTTATTTTCAGAAAGCTATGATATATCTACTTTTTAATTTAAGCTAATTGTTAAAAATGGAGGAACAAAAAATCCGGAATCGAAACGCTCGGGATAAAAGAAAAGAAAAATCGCAGGAAAAGTTAACTGAGGAGGAAATCAAGAAGAGGTGGAATAAAAATAATAATAATAATAATAATAATAATAATAATAATAATAATAATAATAATAATAATAATAATAATAATAATAATAATAATAATAATAATAATAATAATAATAATAATAATAATAATAATAATAATAATAATAATAATAATAATAATAATAATAATAATAATAATAATAATAATAATAATAATAATAATAATAATAATAATAATAATAATAATAATAATAATAATAATAATAATAATAATAATAATAATAATAATAATAATAATAATAATAATAATAATAATAATAATAATAATAATAATAATAATAATAATAATAATAATAATAATAATAATAATAATAATAATAATAATAATAATAATAATAATAATAATAATAATAATAATAATAATAATAATAATAATAATAATAATAATAATAATAATAATAATAATAATAATAATAATAATAATAATAATAATAATAATAATAATAATAATAATAATAATAATAATAATAATAATAATAATAATAATAATAATAATAATAATAATAATAATAATAATAATAATAATAATAATAATAATAATAATAATAATAATAATAATAATAATAATAATAATAATAATGATAATAATAATAATAATAATGATGATATACAGAGATGATGATAATACTCCTGAAAGAGCTCCTTTGCTAATTAACAACAAAGATGTTTCTCCAGGTATTTATTTATTTTTTCATTCATCTTGTAATTCCTCTTTTCATTCATCCTTTCACATATTCATCCTTTCACATATTCATTCTTTCACATATTCATCCGATCAACTATATTTACTTTCTTTTGCTCATTAATTCTCATTAATTGCTCCTTTCATACATTCTTAAATTAATCATGATCCTTTCATTGATCCTTTCAATACTGTCGCAATATAACGGATATACAATATCAGAAATCCATCAGTTTTCTATTTTGTATTCTCCTCGTAGACTGGGGATTATCTTGACATCTATTTCCTTGTATTTGTCTTGTTTAGATAGATAGATAGAAAGATAGATGGATTATCCATAACAAATATTCGATGTAATTTCATAGGATATATAGAAAGGTTCTTGGCAAAGCTTTCAATTTAAAGGGAGTAACCAGCTATGTAAGGTAGTTGAACTGAGTATGCAGTGTTGTGGAAAACTTCTTTCGGATTCATTTGAGACTTATTAAACTTTTTAAAGATCTGTAGATCCTGAGTTTGAGCTCAAATTCGACGTTCAAAACTCCTACTTTGGGGGTGGATACGCTTTCAGAATTATTTTTTGTAACTTTAAATCTTTTATGTTTATGTAGAATCATTACCTGTACTTTAGCTAGCTGGAACTAAACTATCTATATATCCCTAGAACTATCCTCTGCTCTACTAACTATACTGGAGCTAGCTGGAACTAAACTATCTATCTATCGCTAGAACTATCCTCTGTTCTACTACCTATACTGGAGCTAGCTGGAACTAAACTATCTATCTATCCCTAGAACTATCCTCTGCTATACTAACTATACTGGAGCTAGCTGGAACTAAACTATCTATCTATCCCTAGAACTATCCTCTGCTCTACTACCTATACTGGAGCTAGCTGGAACTAAACTATCTATCTATCACTAGAACTATTCTCTGCGCTACTACCTATACTGGAGCTAGCTGGAACTAAACTATCTATCTATCCCTAGAACTATCCTCTGCTATACTACCTATACTGGAACTAGCTGGAACTAAACTCTGGAGATGGAAAACCTTCCCAATAATTCTCCCTCAACCTGTCAATCCTCAGACAGAATCAGGTCAACTAAAAAGGGACAAATCACTTTTTCAAATATTTGAAAAAAAAATCAAATACACATTTAAACGGGAAAATTACAAATCAATCTTTTTATGACGCTTCTTAAAAAAACGAGTTTATAAATTATTAATTTTATCAGGGCACCCTGTAGGACTTAGAACTATTGACACTTTACCGGGATAACCTTTAAAATGATTGACATATTACTGGGACACCCTGTAGAATTATTGACATATTACTGGGACACCCTGTAGAATTATTGACTAATTACTGGGACACTCTGTAGAATTATTGACTAATTACTTGGACACCCTGTAGAATTATTGACTAATTACTTGGACACCCTGTAGAATTATTGACTAATTACTTGGACACCCTGTAGAATTATTGACTAATTACTGGGACACCCTGTAGAATTATTGACATATTACACTAAAATTCCCCAGGGAGAAGATGTAATTATAGGGTTTCAAGGGGGAATCTGGAATAATGTGCACTATTCCATTCCATTTATTAGTTCACTCAATAAAATTTAACCCAACGAGGTTATAGTGTATAGAGTGCCTACCATATAGTATGTCAATATTAGTAAATAGTTGTTTAAGTGTACAGTACAGCTAAATGATAAATTTTTGCCGAGGATTTTGGAATTTGAGACTCATCTAGCTTTTGTACTTTATGTAATATTCGCAGGAGTACGTATATAATATGTACTTAGACGGACGCGACATATTCAATAATCCAGTGCCGCAAAACATTTACAAAATGGCGACGAAAATGTCGTCTTTAAATTTTTTTTTTTATCAAAGTCTAGGTTTTTGTTTAGTCGGAACTGGAAGCACGAGACGGAAAACTATGAATATGAAAGATTTGTTCGTGGAACCAAACTTTAACGAACTTGATGCAGTTTCTACAGATTCAAAGGAACTTTCATATCATTGCCCAGACCATTTTACATTACGGTGATCGTGACCACTGACCTTGACCATAATTTTTCTTACGACTATGATCATGACCATCATTTTTATTACGACTATGATAATGACCATAATTTTATTACGACTAGGATCATGACCATAATTTTTATTACGACTAGGATCATGACCATAATTTTTATTACGACTAGGATCATGACCATAATTTTTATTACGACTATGATCATGACCATTATTTTTATAACTACTATATGATCATGACCATGACCATGTAAATAACCACAATCATGAGCATGACCATGATGACCATGACAATGAGTATAATTATGACCATAACCCTGGTCCCTAACCATGGCCATGATCTTAATATGAAATGTATCAGGGTGAGCCTAAAAAATTAAATAATTTACAACTGGAGTCAATTCAACAAACAGGAGAATTTGAGGTAAATATAATTCTTGAATAAAGGGATTGTTCAATGCTTTAAAAGAAAAGGCTCGGTCTAGCCTTAGCTTTAGATCGTATATTATTCATTATATCAATTTTTTGTAACTTTTTTGCTGTTTTTTTACATTGTTGCAGACTAAAGTTTATTTGTTTCGGAGAATGAAAAATAATAAACCCATCATACTTAGTTTGAAAACTATAGAATTATACTTCAACATTTCTATATAGACCTGACGTATTACGTAGATATCTGTATAAATGTACAATTTCTTAAGAACAAACAGACCTATATTGTACATGTTGAGAGAGTACATATTACACAACTATGTACAGGTTGAGAGTGTACAGTTTGTTGGTCAAAAGCACACCTGGAGATTGAACCAGGTTCTGCAGAAAGGATCCCAGCAATCAACTTTAACCTTGAGACGGGATCTTGCAAGAGCTCTTCATTTATTAGGTACTAGCTGAAATGCATGGCGTTGCCCGTGGAAAAAAATTTGAATTTTTTTTAAAAAGGTCAAATATAAGCAAAAATACTGGTACTATTTCGTGACCTCGTAGCTCCTTTAGTTTTGATTTAAAGCACAAGTATGTCAAAAGTAATTATTTGTTACAGAGAAATTCAAAACTTTTTCACTCTTCTCAATATCTCTTCGTCATAATTAAAAACATATATACGATGTAAAGCTTCCCTGCACACCTCTCATGAACACAAAACCTTTGCTATTGTTCATAATATAGCAAGCACAAGAACACTCGGAATGTAATCAAACCCTACCTCCTCATCTTAATCCTTCTCTGAGTGCTTAAAGTAATTCATATTATAAAAATATACAATTCAATAATATTTAACTTAGGCGGCCAAAGACTTGCCAACAGCTTTTGAACGCACAAAATAACGTTTTAATTGGTTTAAAAACTATGTAATAAAATGAATTTTCTATAATCTAAAAAGTTTAAGAAACTTTATGCATATCTTTCACCTAAAAACACACGTTTAAAAAAAAGTTTGTAAAAAAAGCATAAACATTAATATTAATATCTATACGATATACTTTATCTAAAAACGGATTGCAATGTTTGGTTTGGAATTTTGACCTTTTTAACATTAGGTTTGGTTTGGCCAGGCTCACCTAAACGGCATAACATTTTAATACTAGAACTATCTTTGAGCGTTGTACCTTAACTCGACTTAGTTATTAGGTCAAAAATCGTCGCCGAAGACAATGCAAGAAAACTTTTAAGGATCTTAAAATTTGTTATATTAATTTTTGATTATATAATTAATTACAATAAATACAAAAAGAGAAAAATATTTTATTTTAGTTGTAACAGCCCGAGAAGGTTTGGTGGGAGAAGGGCTGAGTGTTCTAAACTCTAAGAAAGGTTGGAAGGATGGATTCAAATCTCTCGCGGATTTTCTAATAGGAAATTTTGACAATAAAAAATAACATTTATTACACAATATCAAAGTTTGTAATTTTGAAACAAGACAGAATATTACTCAAGCACTGTAAAGTGTCATTAAAGTCGCGTTTTTTAAAATAAAAAAATAATAATTTTGTTTCAAATATTTATTAATTGTTTATTAGTTAAAATGATTATCCAGGGTTGCCTAGTATGAAAACTACCAATCTACAGCAAAGGAACAAAAATGGAATAAAAAACGTTAATCTTAAAGGGACTGTTAGCGTAATTTCTAGTGACTCTCCATGCATAGATAGCAATACCCGATTTACAACGGTACCCATTATTAAATTAACCTTAATCTGATAAAAAAAAATTTGAAAATAATCTCGTTTTTCTGACATGAAACGTGTTTAATTCTTATAATTTCTTCATAATTTCTTATTAGCAAAAAATTCGCAAGTAACTTTTCACGAGAAACCAGAAATAAAAACTAACAGTTTAAATAATCAAAAACATGGATATCTATTTCAAACTTAATCAGACAAAGGCCAAATTAAAAAAATCTGAGCCGCGGCTCAAATATCAAATTCATTAAATTCAGACTCAAAGGTTTCAAGGGCACCGTTGTAAGTCGGGCATTAAATCTTTGCATGGAGGGTCACTTGAAATTAATAAACACTCCCTTTAACCTATATTTTTTGATAGATTGTCATAAAATATTGCTGGAATTTATTACCTGATACAACGTATAGTATTGCTAATATAAAAACAGAGCTACAATTAGAACACATAGTCTAGTATATGCTAAACATTCAGGGAAACAACTCATATTATCAAATATTCAGCGAGACGGTTTTACAAATTTATTATACTTTATACAAACATAGAGAAAATGAAAAAATACTATACGATCGAGGAAAAATAAATAATTGTTGACGGTGGAAGTATGCTCAGAAAATCCCCTGTCTTCTCATCAAAAGGGTTCGTCCCGAACTAACTCCCTTTTCCCCAAGCTTCGCTCCACCCTAGCCTAGATATTAACCCTAGCTCCCCTCGCTAATCCTTTAATAATTGTATAGGCCATAAACAGGGAGTAAGGAACAGAAGGGAGATATAACTGACGCGGTTCGCACTACCATATGATTATACATGCTTTGCAGACGGGTACTCCAATTGAATAAGAAATATTTGTCTAATGTACAATTACCGCGTATACAATAACCTATTCTGAATATTTCTAATACAAATGGAGTACCGTCTGCAAAGCATGTATAATCATATGGTAGGGCGAACTGCGTCAGTTATATCTCCCTTCTATTCTTTATTCCCTGGCCAGTGGCCATAAACAATACCGAGAGCGTACTGCATATTTGTTTATTATAAGTTGATTCTGGCCTAACCTATAGTATATCAATATTAGTAAACAGTTGTAAGTGTACAGTACAGCTAACTGAGCACACAGGTAGAGAACTATCATCCGCCCTGGCAATAGTACAACTCATAATTTTCTATTTTATTGTTATTGTTTTAAAGCAAACAAGTTTTATCTAAACCTTGACAATCAACTTGTTAAATTAAATTGGTCTATGTACACTGCACAATTTCTGTGTTTCATGATCATTCTATTTCATATTTTTATGGGTTCCACTGTATTATAGATATTATTACAATTTATCCTTTCTCTTCATTCCTTTTTCTGGTTTGGATTAGGCTAATGGAGGAGAGACAACAGTATCTTGTTTGTGAACTGGTTTCACCCCTCTCCGGGTCCTTAGATCAGCTAGCAGCCTTCGTCAGGTAGATTTTTTCTAATTTTTGAACTAGTTTCACATCTCTCCGGGTCTTTTTTGATCAGCTAGCAGCATTTGACAGGTAGATATACTTTGTGAACTGGTTTCACCCCTCTCCGGGTCCTTAGATCAGCTAGCAGTATTTGTCAGGTAGATATCTCTATATTGTAAACTATGTAGGTTCACCCCTCTCCGGGTCCTTGGATCAGCTAAAAGAATTCTTCAGGTAGATATCTCTTAGTTTGTGAACTAGTTTCACTCCTCTCCGGGTCCTTGGATCAGCTAACATCGTCAGGTAGATATCTCTTAGTTTGTGAACTAGTTTCACATCTCTCCGGGTCCTTGGATCAGCTAACAGCATTCGTCAGGTAGATATCTCTTAGTTTGTGAACTAGTTCCACTTCTCTCAGGGTCCTTGGATCAGCTAGCAGCATTCGAGATTCTTTCTCCGAGAAGAAGGACTCTTTAATAAGAGAGATGTTGCCCCATAATAACCTTCTTTCTTTTCAGGAGATTGATTGTTAAGAGTTCTATGGAGAAGGGTTCCTTGAAAGGGGAGAAGGCTCCACATATAAACTTCATATTCCAAACCCCTCAGGTAACCAACTTTAACTAAAATAATCGATAAACTTTACTAAAAAGTGCACATCCACACATTTTTGTGTGTGCTTTAAATATGAAAAGTTGAAATTCCTTTTTACATTTATTAAATCACAAATCTTCGTTATTTGAAAAGCTTCCGAACTTTGTTTGTATATATATTAAATATATAAACATACTTGTCTGTTGATATTTATTTATTTAAATATTTCAACATGTCAGATATTATTTATTTAAATATTTCAACATGTCAGATATTATTTATTTAAATGTTTCAACATGTCAGATATTATTTATTTAAATGTTTCAACATGTCAGATATTATTTATCTATCAATATTTCTCATGAGCATATCACATTCACTAGTCAAAAGTTTACAAAGATGCAAAGATATAGGGTAAGGAGATGGACCTAAGATTGTTTAGTGTAGATGTATATCTGTATATCTACCATTATCTCTATACACCCTGTATTCTAGGGTAAGGAGATGGACCTAAGATTGTTTAGTGTATATGTATATCTGTATATCTACCATTATCTCTATACACCCTGTATTCTAGGGTAAGGAGATGGACCTAAGATTGTTTAGTGTATATGTATATCTGTATATCTACCATTATCTCTATACACCCTGTATTCTAGGGTAAGGAGATGGATCTAAGATTGTTTAGTGTAGATGTATATCTGTATATCTACCATTATCTCTATACACTCTGTATTCTAGGGTAAGGAGATGGACCTAAGATTGTTTAGTGTATATGTATATCTGTATATCTACCATTATCTCTAGACTCCCTGTATTCTAGGGTAAGGGGATGGATCTAAGATTGTTTAGTGTAGATGTATATCTGTATATCTACCATTATCTCTATACACCCTGTATTCTAGGGTAAGGAGATGGATCTAAGATTGTTCAGTGTAGATGTAATGAAGAAAGCTCTACCGATAGTTTCCAGGAACAAACCAGACAATTTAAAATATTAATTTTAATAATTAAAAAGAAACTAATTATGAAAACGTATCCACCCCCAAAGTAAGAGTTTTGAACGTCGAATTTGCGCTCAAACTCAGGATTTACAGATCTTTAAAAAGTTTAATATGTCTCAAATGAATCCGAAAGAAGTTTTCCACAACACTGCATACTCAGTTCAACTACCTTACATAGCCGGCCACTCCCTTTAAACAGTCCCTTTGAAGGGTTTATTGCACAAACTATTATAACTATGACATATACCTTGTTTTATCTGGAAAGGTCTGTGCATACAAGCTTAAAATAAATTGAAACTAAAGCGGATTACTAGATATTTGATCAGTTTACACTAGACCTTATTTCAGGATTTTATAAAACTAGAACTTTAAAATGATCTTAGTTATAAAATTTGTTTTATATAGTATATATACTGTTGAACAGACAACTTTATTGTCAATAATAAAACTAGAATTTTGTTAAACTATGATTTTCATTTTGACGGGTTAATAAGTTTTTGTAATTTTTATTGGTTTAGGTTCAGCATTTAAATCTTTCCGCGTTTGGCTCGGCACATTTTTATTTTGTAAGAAAGTTTTGCGAAAAAAATAAACGGTTTTAGGATCACTCTTGTATGGCTGGGTCCATTCGCTCCTGATCCAATTAGGGTTCAGTCATTTGTTTGTTGTCTATTCTGAACCAATAGAAATAGTATGGCGGTCACATCCATCTTTATATCTAGCTCATTATCCAATTAGAGTTATGAATCCTTCAATCGGCGATATAACAGTAAATGGAAATATTTACTTCTAATGAAACTATAGTGGGATGACACCTGTTTTAAAGTTCCAACGACGGCTTAGACCCGAGCCGTATTTTCCCGAGTTTTTAAAATCGCGGACTCAGATCATTGCATGATGGTTTTAACTTGTGTTTTTTGGAGTAGTTATATAAATTGTTTGGTTTTGAGCAGAATAGTTGAGATGGAAACAAAAGGATGGTTCCCTGAATTCAAGGAGAAGGTTCTCTCCCAACTCAAGACGGAGTACAAAGATACACGAACTCTTCAAGCTGAAGCAAACAAGTAAATTGAGTCTTTTCCACAAACTATCATTATACTTTATATCTTTGCAAACTAATGTCGTAAATCTTAGATATTTCAAACTATGAATTCTGTTAGATCAAATAATCTAAGTTTGGTTTGAAATATCAAAGGGTTATATGTTCAGAGCTGAAAACTTAAGAATGATGGACATCAAGATTAATGCTTAAACTCGGAACTCCTGGTTTTACTTAACCCGAGATTATTTTAATACGCATTCGATATCCAAGAAAGAAGTTTAAAATTCAACCAATCAGCGTGTCATGTTAAGATGCACTCTTTAACTTTTGAAAAACTGGTTTTATTTCTGATGTTGATGGTGTCATATCAATTGAACTAAACATCGATTGAACGAACGTAAATTTTGGATTATTGTTTTTTTTTTATGACTAACGTTTAAAATTACAATGGTCCTAAAATATGATAAAATATGTTTTTTAATAAGTTCATATTAACATGGTAAAATCTTTATTTGTTTAAATGCTCTAAAAGCCGGATTGTGAAGAGCTGATTTAAATTCAATCGGATATTAGTCCAATTGATATAGCATTGTATCTGTAATTGTTATCAAACATAAATTTATACAAGATAGGGATATCCAAAAAAGAGGATTAAGAAGAAAATAAAGAGTGTGTACATTGGACAATCAGATTAAGCGATCAGGATAAAGGATATCTCATTTTAACGTTTTCAGCTTCGGTTGCTAAGATAGAGGATTAAAAATTTGAGTTTGCGGCAGAAAGTTAATTCATTTTTCAGAAAGAATTGAGTTTTTGCCACAAACTCACATTTTCTAAACCTTATTACTTTGCAAACTGATTGTAAACCTTTGATACTTCAAACTTATGCAATTTATATACAAAAATAATAGTTTGAAATATCAAAGGTCTACGAAATCGGGTTGCAAAGATATAGGGTTAGAAAGTCAGAATCTGTGGCAATTTGTTCCTTTCCACAAATTCTAGGACATTTTAGATGTTTTGAAAATGCAAAGTTTAATTATGAAATATTTTAATGGCAGATTGTGATTATGATTTTTTTTAAAAAGAAATATTATTTAGATGTGTTCAAGACGAGTACCTGAAAAGAATTTCAACAAGTATTTTACAGAACCTAGAGCTAAGATCTATAGGTTTAGGTAGGTTTATATATATATTTATATCTATACTAGCTGAAGTTCCCGGCGTTGCCCGTGGAATTTAATTTGAAAAAAAATCCGATTTAAAAAAGATTTCTATTTTTGAAAAAAAAAATTTTTAGAAAAGAAAATGTCGAAATTTTAGCCTTGTTACTCCCGGGAACCCATGGGTTCTCTCAAAAAGATTTTTTCCATTTTGTCCCTTTGTCGCGTTTTTGACCGTTTGCCTTTTGACCCTATGTCGTTTGACCCTGGGTCGTTTGACCCTGGTTCATTTGACCCTATGTCGTATGACCCTATGTCGGTCGACCTTATATAAATTATCTTTGCTTTAACAATTCTTTTATATATTATTCTTGATCAAGGTATTCCCGAATTACTGTTAGACCAGCTCCGAGCTGGGGTAGTGTTCCAGCAAGCTCTAGAAGCTGCTGAGCAGAAGCTTGAGAATCATCTCCAGGCCGCTGAACGAGGACTTCAGATTAGGCATCCTATTTTGTAAGATTTTTAATGTTTTAGACTTAATTATTTGCTACAACTCATTAATCATTTAAAGACGTTTATCTGAAAATTAGGGTTCTGCTATTTTTATCTGTTATTTATTAGTACAACATTTTCGTTCTTTGCCTTAAACGACATGTTTGAGAAATAAAAGCTGTTTTTTTTCCTGTAAATTAGTTAGAAACATAATTTTTGCTTAGTCTGACATAATGTAGTCACCAGAAGACAGGGAAATTAATTATTACACAGTTTTCTTTAGACCACTGTTTTTGAAACAGATTATGAAGAAGATACAATTGGTGGCAATACAGTTGAAGAAATCATGTATGAAGTTATTGATGTCAAAAAAATATATATAAAACCTTTTTACTGTAATTAAACAAAAAGGAAGCATTGCCAAAAATATGAAAATTATAAAAAAATATATAAAACTGGGAATAGAACGATTTTCTTCAAAAGTAGATTTTTAATTTTCTGTAAATTGTAGTTGTAATTTATTTTTAGATCTCAGATTCCTGAATGGGTAGCAAGAAGGTTAAATAAGTTTAAGATAGAATACTTAGAGGTAATTTAATTACAATCATTAGTCAGAAGTTAGTTAGTCATTGGTGAGACATTGGAGAGACATTAGTAAGACGTTTGTGACACGTTGGTTAGACATTTGTGAGACATTGGTTAGATGTTGATGTGACATTGGAGAGACATTAGTAAGACGTTGGTTAGACATTGGTTAGACATTGGTTAGATGTTGATGTGACATTGGAGAGACATAAGTAAGACGTTGGTTAGACATTGGTTAGACATTAGTAAGACGTTGGTTAGACATTTGTGAGACGTTGGTTAGACATTTGTTAGACATTGGTTAGATGTTGGTGTGACATTGGAGAGACATTAGTAAGAGGTTGGTTAGACGTTTGTGACACGTTGATTAGACATTTGTTACACATTGGTTAGATGTTGGTGTGACATTGGAGAGACATTAGTAAGACGTTGGTTAAACATTTGTGAGACGTTGGTTAGATATTTGTTAGACATTTGTTAGACGTTGGTGTGACATTGGAGAGACATTAGTAAGACGTTGGTTAGACATTGGTTAGACGTTGTTGACACAATATCTATCTATCTATCTATCTATCTATCTATCTATCTATCTATCTATCTATATATCTATCTATCTATCTATGTAGGATGAGGAGTGGGAACCCCACCTCCTGGCACTGCGGCTATGCAGGGAACAAAATTTGGTCCAGCACGCATATTTTCTATCCAGGCAATATTTGTTATGAAAGGATAGGTTACTTTCTATCCAGGAAATAATTGCTATGATAGGATAGGCTACTTACTATCCAGGCAATAATTGTAATGAAAGGATAGGTTACTTACTATCCAGGCAATGATTTCTATGATTGGGTAGGCTACTTTCTATCCAGGCAATAATTGCTATGTTAGGATAGGCTACTTACTATCCAGGCAATAATTGCTATGAAAGGATAGGTTACTTACTATCCAGACAATGATTTCTATGAAAGGATAGGTTACTTACTATCCAGGTAAAAATAAAAAATCCTTTTCTTTCTATCCAATGCTAGTTAAATAGGATGGGTAATTTTCTATCTAATCTATTGTGAACAGAGTTCAATGTACTGATTTGAATTGTATTGTTACAAAACTTGAAATTACAATATCAATAACAATAATCCCTGGATTTAGGGATCATACATTCTTAAAGGATCAAGAGCATGTTCTTCTCCAAGAACTAGGTAACTTTCTTCATAAAACAGGGGGGGGGTATGATCATCATTCATAATAATTTTTTTCTCAATTCCATAGCTTTCAGAACCAGGGTTTCCAACCCTGGAGTTTTTTTTTACCGTTTTTGTGTTTTTCAGCCCTGTCAGCTAAGTTTTTTTTCAAGGTTGCTACCCAGTGTTGTTTTAACCTAAATTTTTTTCTCGTGTTTTTTTTTTTCTTTTAGATTTTTAGAAAAGAAAAAATCACATGATTATCACCGAAAAAAACCGTGTAATTCAGGATGTAAGAAGTAATACAAGTATCTTTGGTGTTTTTTTACTATTGGTATCTTATTATTTTAAGTGGTTGGCAACCCTGCAAGTAAATATGTACCACAAGCTTAATATGGGGGAGGGGGGGGGGGNCGGGTGGGATAACAACGACTCTTCCCACTGTTCCTATCCCTATATATTGTGTATACAATGTAGGTTATATATTTGTATTCTAGGTTTATACTGTAGATCTCCTACCCATTCCTTCAAGTTCCAAATACAAATATGGAATCCAACAAACTGGGTTGTAACAGAAACATACAAGGTATATAAAACAGAATTTTTTTTTTAATGAATTTTAATTTTCTGAACTGAACTTTACTGTACACTGTCCAGTACCGTACTGATGTAATGTACCATACTGATGTATTTTACCGTACTGTATTTACTGTGCACTCTATTGTACTAAACTGTATTGCACTGTATTGTACTGTACTGATTTGTACTGTAATGCACTGAACTAAACTGAACCTCATACCGTACTGTATCTAGTACTGTTATGTTCTGTACTGTACTGGTCTGTACTTTAATCTATCTTTTTATAAGCCTTTTTTGTAAAACTTTAAAGAAACATACTTTTCTTAAACCATAAGTTATTAATACAAGGAGACATATTTTGATATATTGTAGGGTACTACCCAGATAAGTTATAAATACAATGATATATATTTTGATATATTGTAGGGTACTACCCAGATCATTCCCACAGTTGTGCAGAAACACACAGGAAAATCAAGCTTTAGGCAGCATAGTAGTTCAGATGATCCAGTTTATCTAGGTATAGTAGTTCAGATGATCCAGTTTATCTAGGTATGGTAGTTCAGATGATCCAGTTTATCTAGGTATAGTAGTTCAGATGATCCAGTTTATCTAGGTATAGTAGTTCAGATGATCCGGTTCATCTAGGTATAGTAGTTCAAATGATCCAGTTTATCTAGGTATAGTAGTTCAGATAATTTAGTTTATCTAGGTATAGTAGTTCAGATTATCCAGTTTATCTAGGTGAAGTAGTTCAGATGACCCAGTTTATCTAGGTATAGTAGTTCAGATGATCCAATTTATCTAGGTATAGTAGTTCAGATGATCCGGTTTATCTAGGTATAGTAGTTCAGATGATCCAGTTTATCTAGGTATAGTAGTTCAGATGACCCAGTTTATCTATGTATAGTAGTTCAGATGATCCGGTTTATCTTGGTATAGTAGTTCAGATGATCCGGTTTATCTAGGTATAGTAGTTCAGATGATCCAGTTATCTAGGTATAGTAGTTCAGATAATTTAGTTTATCTAGGTATAGTAGTTTAGATGATCCAGCTTATCTAGGTATAGTAGTTCAGATGATCCAGTTTATCTAGGTATAGTAGTTTAGATGATCCAACTTATCCAGAATTATTAGTTCAGATGATCCGGTTTATCTAGGTATAGTAGTTCAGATAATCCAGTTTATCTATAGGTATAGTAGTTCAGATGATCCAATTTATCTAGGTAAAGTAGTTCGGATGATCCGGTTTATCTATAAGGTATAGTAGAACAGATGATCCAGTTTATCTAGGTTTAGTAGTTAAGATGATCCAATTTATCTAGGTAAAGTAGTTAAGATGATCTGGTTTATCTATAAGGTATAGTAGAACAGGTGAGATCCAGTTTATCTAGGTATAGTAGTTAAGATGATCCAGTTTATCTAGGTATAGTAGTTCAGATGATCCAGTTTATCTAGGTACAGTAGTTCAGATGATCCAGTTTATCTAGGCATAGTAATTAAGATGATCCAGTTTATCTAGGTTCAGTAGTTAAGATGATCCAGTTTATCTAGGTATAATAGTTAAGGTGATCCAGTTTATCTAGGTACAGTAGTTCAGATGATCCAGTTAATCTAGGTATAGTAGTTCAGAGGACCAAGTTTATCTAGGTATAGTAGTTCAGATGATCCAGTTTATCTAGGTATAGTAGTTAAGATGATTCGGTGTATCTAGGTATAGTAGTTCAGATTATCCAGTTAATCTAGGTATAGTAGTTAAGATGATCCGGTTGTTCCAGGTATATATTTTTTAATATCTAACTGCTTAAACCATTGAGAGCAGAAACCATAAACACCAATGTCTTTGTTAAAAAAGTGAAATGTTCCGTTGAAGGAAACTTTCGAGTTATCTTCTTAAGGTTTATGAATTTGCGTAAATCAGAAGAGAAAAAAAATAATGAAAAGAAACCAGATGAAATAATATTTCTCAACAAAAATATCGGTATTTACAAAACTGCCTGACATTTGAAACTGGGTTCCATTACACGATACTCTGTCTTAAGTTTCGGTCTCTAGGAGGAATATAAACAACTAAGTTTGTTTACATTTTCCACAGAAACTGCAGTGCACATTAATGCAAATACAGGTATTTCTTGCGTATGCAAATGCAAATATGATGTTGAGAATAGCCTGGGTTCTTTACGCATTTTATTCTTATAAATAAAAAATATTTCCGTGGTATTTTGCCCCTTAGCTAGAATTTATGTAAATGCAGGTATAAAGCAAGAAATCAATAATAAAAAATATTCTTTTTTATAAACATAAAGACCATCTTATTGTTTGCAGTAATTGTCTATATATCCTTGATAGGTCTCATCCGGGACACTGTAACAACAAGAAATAATAAAAAATACAAATTATCTATTTCTGACTAACAAATATAGCTTTTCTTTTCATGAAACCCCGCTGCCAACTTCTATTTATGAAGTTTCGCATTCTATACATTGAATAAAGAAGCAGTGCCAAGTTTGAATGCATGCTAAACCACAACAACATNGGGGTCAAATTATAAAAATTTACGAGATCAAAAACGGATTTCTTCCAAATTGTAAATTATGAAATTCAAAGAAATTGCCACCGCCTCAAATCTTCTCATCCCTTTATCTTTGCAACCATATGGTGTAAACCTTTGAAATTTAAACTTAGATTATTTGATATAACAGAATTCATTGTTTGAAATATGTAAAGTCTACGACATTTATATTAGGTATAAGAAAATGAAAGGTTGTCGCAAGGACTGAACGCTTGACTGAAAACTAAAAATTTCAAACAATTTCCGTTTACGCAATGGAATTGAGCCTTTGACACAAATTCAAAATTTCTAATCCATATATCTTAAACACCTGATTGTGTGAAGCTTTGATATTTTAAACTTTGGTTATATAATCTGGGCGTTTTCACGCATATATATAAAATATGAGTATAAAAGATATTCTAGAAATATTAACTTTTTATTGTAGTAGATCAGACCTTCTAGTTTTATTCTTTCTTTAGTTCAATTTTATTCAGACCTCTATCTAAGTATTTACTTTTAAATATTTCTAATATCTTTGTTACTACTCCTAGACTCTATGAAAAATAAACTTTACTTACTTATCCAATAGTTTATTCACAAAGGTTGGTCACAGAGTAAAGTATAATGAAAAATACAATGTTTATATATGGTTGAGAAATTACAATGATGCCTCTCTTGCGCAGAAGAAAGGGTGTGTCTATACAGCCTGAAGAGGCCTAGAAATCTTTTTAGCAACAATGAAAGGGTTCAATGCATCGTGAAAGTTAGGACGTAGTTTCCTTTGGCAACCCTTTCTCCGAACAAGGAGGATTTTACTGGTTATTTCTAGTTATTTGACAAAACAAACCAAAAGTTAGGCAATGAATAAGTTTTGACTAGTTATTTCCAGTTATTTACTGAAGCAAACCAAAAGTTAGGCAATGTATAAGTTATTACTAGTTAGTTCTAGTTCTTTGTTGTACATTTGAATTCTGGATACATTTTTATCATCATATGGCTTTATCTAAAAATGTCACAAATCAGAATTCAGTTTGAAATATCTAATGTCTGCGACATCGGATTGCAAAGATATAGGTATTAGAAAAATTAGAGTTTGCGATAAAGACTTTATTTCTTTCTTTCAAAAACTTCACTGAAAACAGTTTTTTTAACAATTTCCGTCTATGCAATTTTACGCAAATCTGCTTGTGTCTAGCTCTATATATCATAAGACCATGAGATAAAAAGCTACTGTTGTGCGCAATTCCGCTCAACAGACTTCCTGAAATATTTAATTATTTTCTATTTTCTCTTTGCAGTTGAGAAGCAAACCGTAATAACCAACAGCACTCAGTATCCGTTCTGGAGATGGACCAACTTTATCTACCGAACCTGGACCTGGAGCTGGAACCTTCTCTTTATCCTTCTCATCCTGGTTCCCTGGTGCTCCACCTTCTCCTTGAGATCCCTTCTCTACCTTCATCCCTTCTACCCAGACCTGGAGATATCACACCAGGACGACAGTCTTCACAGGGACACACAGATATATTAGAAGCTCTCAGGGGGGGACGGTGGGGGTCATTTCTAAAGAAGAAAGGAAATTGAGTCTTTGCCACAAACTCAAATTTTCTAATCCGTAAATCTTTACAACCGTATAATGTAAACTAAATAGGGATGCAATTTTACAACATGACATACTATTGAGTTGACTTTAAATCGTGAAAAATCTTTTTAATATCTTGTTTTTATATTCTCTGATTATGAATGTGTCTGCAGAAAAGCCTCGAGTATAACCCCAACTTTAAACTCTCGACTACGTGATCTGTGGAAGCATATTGCTAAGAGCAGAGAAGAGTTTGAAAACCAACCAGATCGGGGGCTACTGGGCAAATCCATTACTAGGCATTATAACAGGTATATGACGTGCTTTTTTTTGCAAAATCTTAAAGTAAAAATTGCAATTTCTCTGTCTATGAAATGTCTGTCTATAAAAAAATGTCTTATCATTGAAGTGTATGTATGTAATCTACTATCAAGCTGTTGAATGTCATGTGAGTGTGGGGTCTTTAAAATGTCCATTTAAAAGAATGTCTCATCTAAGAATCCCGTCAGGACAAATGGAGGAAAATGTACGCTAGATTGTGACGTATGCATTTAGGTTAATCAACTACACTGATCATTGTTATTAGGTGTCCTCTATGAAATGTTCTTTGTATACTATGTTATGTCCTATCCATGAAATGTCCATATCTGAAATATCTTTGTTTGAGTAATGTCCTATCTATATGAAATGACCATATCTGAAATGTCTTTAATTGTGTGATGTCCTATCTATGAAATGTCCCAAAACCTCTGAAATGTCTTATCAGATTGCGTATTTGAGACATTAGTTTTTTTTTTTGCATATAATTTCTCTCCGTGGCAAAATTTGGGAAAGTGTAACAAAAGCAAATGTTTAAAATAGACAATTTTTAAATTTTTAAAACTTCCCTGATTTTTGTGGAACCTCTTAAAAGTAAAAAAAAAAGTTTTTGAAAAAACAAGCAAGCATATGTCTTATAAAGTTATCATAAACTGGAAAACTGATTACTCTCCTCGTACTCTAATTTTTAATTATAATATCGTTGCAACTTGATGCCGTAGAGCTTTGATATTTCAAATCATGAACCCTTCTTGATCAAGGTGAGAAATTGCAGAGGTTTACACCATCAGGGAGTAGTTTTAAGAGACTCTTCATTCATGGAGTGGCATGTTCGATCCACAACGGTCATAGGTTACATGAGATATCCTTGTTTTCCTCGCTGAAAATTTATAATTTTGAATTCAAGCTTCTCCATAAAAATAAAAAATAAAAGAACTTTTTAAAAATTGCTTATATACTTCTCATTACTCAGATATCGTAATGAGGACCGTTGTGAATCGGACATGCCATTCTTTTTTTTTTTTTAATTCACTTTAAATGACGTGTACAGTCTATATTGTTCAGATTTGTGAATTATATCCTGAAAGGATTCCTGGGAACTGTTCTAATCATCTTTCTGTTTCCAACTCTCTGCATTATTGTCTCAGGAACATCATTAATCAAATAGTAGACAAATATCGATGCTATAAGAGAGTGTTTGCGAAAAATGAAAGGGGTATAGGCTGATATCGAATTTAATTCTATGTCGAATTGAATTCGATATCGATTAATTTTAATTTTACTTCTATCTGTTGCGAAAATGGTTAAAAACGAATCATACCATGAAGAGCGTGGAGGACCCAGACAAATCCACGTAGTTGCATTATTTTACCCAGACCGTAGATTATTCAATTAAATTTAAAACTAATATTACAGATATTACAATGTTATAAATGTCGAATTCAATTCGGTACATTCCTATGCAGTTTAAATGTCATCATCTTTTAAATAAATATATTTTGAGGACGATTATTTTGCCGCTAGGTGTCTCAGGGCATTTGGGAGCGATACCAAATATCTTCCTCACATTGTATTTTCAGTTTTGTCTTAACAAAATATTTCTTCAGTATTTCCGGGTTTTTAAGACAAGAACAAATGTTTGCAGATAATACTGGATATAAGTGTGTCTGGATATAAGTGTGATTTTTCACAATAAATTCTACAGAGGAGGGGGGAACTCAATGTTTGTTACACAAATATTTTATTTTAAACAAGCTTGAGAAGTTGAGAACCCATCATGGCTTTACCTGAAAACTAATTTTTTGCTTTAAATAGTCAGCCCAATCAACTTGGAATTTTTAAGTCAAGATAAAAACATTCCCATGGTTCTACCGAGTTCCTCAATCAAAATTTGGCAAACAGAGATTACTTCATTTAAAACAACCAGAGGCTTGAACTCAAAATGTTATGTAAATATGTTATTTTAAATTTCAGAATGTTATGCCACGTGTGCTGGGCCAAAAGTCACTTTTTCTGTAACATAAAAGTCTTAGATTTATGCTTGAAAAAATTCATCCCACCAAAAAGACCGGTTCAAATTTTGCGTACTCTTAATTTTTTGTGACCTCTCATTTATAAAGTGGCATGTTCTATTCACATTGGAAGTAACCTTTATCCTAGGTTAGATCATTTATGGATCTATGATCAGAATAGATTAATAAATGAAAAACAGGATTAAGTCTAACCCTGGCTCTCCTGACTCCAGTGCTAGTCCCTACCTTGAGCCTGGTAGTTCACCTACTAGGAGCAGTTTTCTATGATTTTGAGACAGGGTCACCAACTCTAGCTCTGCTCCCTAACCTAGTCTGGAATATTGGAATACGAGGTATGAATCAATTCTTATCATTGAAAGTAATTACATTGAGACCTATTAAACTTTGGAAAGGGAAGACGACATTAAATCAGTATTTTTTTTGCATTATTTTGATCAGTTTTACTACAATGATAACCAGAAAACTCTGGAATAGGAAGTTAACTTTAAACTTAAAAAAGGACTTTTTACTTTTTAACAACATCAAATGCACTACAGTATAAATGTCGTCATCCTATTCTACAGTTTTCTGGTAATATACTGTTATTTGTAGTAGGTTGAAAAACAAAATTGAATTCATTTACCTGAGCTCGAGATTTAAAAGAGTATCGTTGATCGAAACTCCCGACTTTCCTTTTTGGGGCCTTAACATTTGTGTAGATTTAGATTTAAGAGATTCGAAAAAAATGGAGAATATGAAGAAACTAAATCTATGTATAAATTTGGCTTGCCTGTCTGTTTGTTTGTCTGTTTGTTTGTATCCAATAAACGTCAAAACGGCTGAACCGATCGGGCCCAATTTTTTTGTGGGACATCACGTGACCACAGGGAAGGTTTATGAATGATTGAAATTTTAAATATTTGTCTCCATCAAAATTCGATCTTCATTAAATTTTTGAAAATTTTAAAAATCCACGAAATTTGTTGTGAAAATTTCTCGAATTATTTTTGTTTTATTTTACGATGTACACACAGCGAACATGTTCACAATTAATTTAGAAGATGAGCGCGAAGCGCCCTATATGGCTAGTCTATATATAAATTTGGCTAGTCTGTCTGTTTGTCTGTCTGTTTGTTTGTATCCAATAAACGGCTGAACCGATCGGGCCCAATTTTTTTGTGGGACCTCACGGAGCCCCAGGGAAGGTTTATGAATGATTGAAGTTTTAAATATTTGTCTCCATCAAAATTCGATCCTCATTAAATTTTTGAAAATTTTGAAAATCACAAAATTTTTTGTGAAAATCCGCGAATTATTTTTGTTTTGTTTTACGATGTACACAAAGAGAACATGTTCACAATTAATTTAGAAGATGGGCGCGATGTGCCCTCTAAGGCTAGTCTATATATAAATTTGGCTTGTCTGTCTGTTTGTTCGTCTGTTTGTTTGTATCCAATAAACGTCAAAACGGCTGAACCGATCGGGCCCAATTTTTTTGTGGGATCTCATGTTACCCCAGGGAAGGTTTATGAATGATGAAAATTAAAAATAATTGTGTCGAAAAGCTTTCTAAATTTGTAAAAAATTTTAAAATCTTGAAAATTCACAAATCTTTTTATTAAATCCGCGACATGTTTACAATTGAGATAGAAGATGGGCGCGAAGCGCCCTAAAAGTCTAGTAAAATAATATTTCATAACACAAATATTGATATCTACAAAACTGCCTAACCCCGTTCATGAAACCCGTGTTCTAAAATTGGTTTTCATAACGATACCCTGTCTTAAGTTTTGGGCTCTGTTGCTTCAAGTAAATTGGGTCTGTGTACACTAAACAGTTCCAATGTTTAATGTTCATTTGTCTATAAAAAAAATCACTTGAGTTCCACAGTTTGTTAGGCCCCGTTATACAAAATATGAACAAAGATATAGGGACTGGCAGATTTATAACAATGTAAATAAGGTTTTATGTTTGTTTACGTTTTACCGTAACGTATCAGGACAGCTCTTGAACTGGTTTTATTGTAAACAAACCGAAAATTGTAAACAGTGAAAGCTCAAGCCCGGGCCTCTCTTCCGTTCTAATATGTAACAGTAAAATATTAGAGTAGATAGTATTATTGTTATTATTATTATTAGGTCTATTGTGTATTATCTCTATTAATAAAATGTCAACATAGTTTCATTAAAAGTAAAACTTTCCATTTACTGATAGCGCCGATTGAAGAATTCATATCTCTAATGGACTCGGCAAAGTCCCTTCGTATTGTAATCTGACATGTTTCCAAGCCACGCACCTCTGCCTCTTTTGTAAAAGTATATTCAACCTATATGAAGCATGAAGTCTGACCGCGCCAACCTTGTTGTACCAGCTAGCCCTGTCCATAGAGCTAGGTACAGTACAAACTAGGACCAGGTTGACCCGGCTCGGAAATTCAAATGTACTACGGCTGCCCGTGAACCATAACTCCTCTCGTATAAAAATCTATTTAAATGAGGCAAAATGTGATGAATTTGCCCTTCTTTAACCGGTTCGTTGAATCAAAACTACGAGGGAAAAAAGTCGCACCGTTTGCAGTGGTAGAATAAAAATCTAAATATATTTTTATTTTTAAAGTAATGCACACACAGGCAGTACTTTATTTAGATAAAAGCATAGACCTCACTCCTGTATGCCAAGTCCAATAGTGCCTGATCCAATCAGGGCTCCGCTCAGTCATGTGTTTGTTGTCTATTCTGAACCAATAGAAATAGTATGGCGGTAATATCTATCTTTCTATCTATCTCATTATCCAATTTGAGATAAATCCTCACATCGGTGCTATGCACTAAATGGAAATATCTACTTCTACTGAAACTATATTAAACTATATTGTTAAATTATTACTAAATTAAACTATATTACTAAATTATGAAACTATAGGTGTACTGCAGCCAGCTGTAGCTGTGCTGGTGAGCTGTGTACTGTGCCCTATATCATCAATGTTTATTGCTGTACTTGCTGTACTTAGAAAGGGGGTCCGTACTGTCTGGGATACAGGTTTACATAACAATTATTTATATTAATAATATTTTTTTTTAATTAATAATAATAATCTAGTTATGTTTGAACTGCTGATCAAGAAAAGAGCAAAAGTTCCATTTATCGACACCTTCGTTGCCAGGAACCAGTTTATCCATGTTTTTCATAAATGTATATATAAAGTAGTAATCTCTGTTTGTTTGGTTGTCTTAGCATGGGTTGACTTTTATGGTGAAAGTTAAGGTTAAGGACTTCCCAAGCTAGTCTATCTATTTAATGAAACAAGACATTCGTATATATGTTCCCTCTGGTCGGCCAAACGGCTGGACCGAATGGGCTGACATTTTTTTAGGGAACCCAGGAGTATCCCGGGGGGTAAGAAAAGGCTAAAAAAATTTTTTAAAAAATTCCCTTTTTTATTCCACGGGCAACGCCGCGCCGGGCACTTTAGCTAGTAATATATAAAATAGTAAATTTTTATTTAAGATATAAAAATCGAAAAATGTTACGAACTTACGAAGTCTGTTTTAGAAGATTTCAAAGATCTAAAGAAATCAACGGATGTCGGAGTATTTATTTTGTTAATCCCTTCAGAAAGCATTAATCCATTTTTTTGTATTTCGACAGATTAAGTTAACTCCTTGGATGTTCCCCAAAATACTCGTAATTATTAAAAGTGTCCACGATGCAAATCAAGTGAAAGATCAAGTGCTGCTTATTGTTTAGTGCCATTCCAATCAAAAGTCCAGACCTCTGATAATTTAATCATAGATCCTGCATTCTACTTCAAAAGTTATTGATATTAAACATACTTTCTTTATCTTCAAATATGCGAAAGCGTTAAAAAATTGTTCCCCCCCCCCCCAAAAAAAAAGTTGGATAAACTGACATTTTTCCCAGGCGAATATCAGGGCCTGGTATGTCTAGCAGCTATTTCTATCAGGTATTTGCACATAAAGGGACGAAGAGAGTAATTTCAAGTGACCCTCCATGCACAGATGGCAATACTCGATTCACAACGGTACCCTTAAATGCTTTGTCTGATCAAGTATGAATTATATATCAATGTTTATAATCCAGAAAACTGATTATTTTCAAACTTAGTTTCTCTGCTAAAGTGACTTGAAATATCTTTCACGTTAATACGCGTACAGTCCCTTTAGGTTACTAAGTTTTTTTTTTTTTTTAAAGGGGATTTCCCAAAATATTCAGAATTAAAATGAGTTCGGGGTGTTGATTTTTTGCCAAAGGGGGGGGGGAGGGTGCACCTTTCTCCTAAAGAAAAAAAATCATGTAGCATTTGTCCATTATAGAAAGAGAAAAGGCCTATCAGATATAAACTATTTCAACATGGAACCCCATTTCTTTAAATTTTCCTTTTCTTTTTTTATAAAATGCTTTTTTCTAGATAAAAACAGAACAGGCGCTGGTTGCTTTAGAGAGCAAGATGGAGGTGGAGGAGTTGGAGGCATTTCAGGTATTTGGAGGGGTTTTCAGGTAGTAGGAGGGGTTTCAGGTATTTGGAGGCATTTCAGGTAGTTGGGGGCATTTCAGGTAGTCGAAGGCATGCCAGGTAGTTGGAGGGGTTTCAGGTAGTTGAGGCATTTAAGGTAGTTAAAGGGATTCCAGGTAGTTGGAGGAATTTCAGGTAGTTGGAGGCGTTTCAGGTAGTTTGATGTAGTTGGAGGCATTTCAGGTAGTTGAAGGGAATTCAGATAGTTGGAGGGATTTCAGGTAATGTCGGAGGCATGCAAGATGTTACAAAAGTAAAAATTGCACTTTTAAGGAAATTTGACAAATCTCTAAATTAATTAATGACTGATATTTCAGATTGAGATGGTAAAGATGATAACAGCCCCCCAGGAGGATTATAAGAAGTTTATCTCTAACCTCCTCAGCCCTTTTGGGGTTAGGTGAGTATATTAAAGAATATTTTTTTCAGAAGTTTGTATGGAATTTTAGAGAGGCCATGCCATATTACCCCTTGAAAATCAGAAATCAAAGTTTTTAAAAGTTTTATTCATAAATTAATTAACAACACAGAACACTAGATATCGATTCTTCAAGATCTAGGGGTTTTTCGATCACAATAACCCTGAGGCAGAAGCCCAAAGTAGTTACGCGCATGCTGCGTTGAATTAAAAGACAGAGAGAGAGCCTGTTCTACGCCGCATGCGCGTAAGTCATTTGGGCCTCTGCCTCAGGGTTATTGTGAACGAAAAGCCCAAAAATCTTGAAAAGACGATATCTAGTGTTCTATCTGTGTTGTTATTATTTATATTTTAGTTTGAGTAAACCTAACCCTGGTCCATTTAATAAGAAGTTAGAGACAGAAACCTCAAACCTACTCAACAGCTTGACAACAAAGGTTGGTTCAGTGAGATCTATTGAATCTGAGATGAAAAGGAAAGTTGTTTAAAGAGACTGTAAGCGTAATATCAAGTGACCCTCCGTGCAAAGATAGGAATGCCCAATTTACAACGTAATATACACTTTAAACCTTAATCTGCTCAAAAGTTTTTTAAGTCGAAAAGTTTTTAATTCTGGTAGTTTCTCATAAGCAAGAAATGCTTAATTCACTTTAGAAACCGCAAATGAAAATAAGCAAATTAAAAAACAAAAACTTGGATATCTAATTCACACTTGATCAGACAAAGTTTTAAGGATAACGTTTTAAATCGGGCATTGCCATCTTTGCATGGAGGGTAACTTGAAATTACGCTTACAGTCCCTTTAAAGGGACAGTAAAGGAAAAATGAAAGGGGGTATAGCTGAAAGCTAATCACTTTAGCTCTTGATCGCGACCCATGAAAGTCATATCTGATGTTCAGGTCTCGAGAAATTTATATAAAACTGTGTCAAATATATACGAAAATTAATATATATACAATTTTGTATAAAAGTAGTAGGTTTAAACAGATCATATTCAGCAAGTAAGCAACCAATCTGAAAACGATGATATCCCAGAGAAAGCTAATTGTAAATTAGGTTACTTTTATATTTGTTATTTCTATTTTCAAGAGATTTCATTCATAATATTATTTTTACGTCCGTATTACTTGACCAGAAATCCACCAATGGCAGTGTAGTAAAGTGGTCACGTGATACAGGCGGAGACACGTGACCAGTATACTGCTCTGCCATTGGTGATAGTTCTGGTCACGTGATTTAAGTTTCAGATTTTCAAAATTTTACATATATGAATTTTCGTATAATTTTAACACAGATTTATATCAGTTTCTCGAGACAGAAACATCAGATATAACTTTCATGGGTCGCGATCAAGAGCTAAAGTGATTAGCTTTCAGCCTATACCCCATTTCATTTTTCCTTTACTGTCCCTTTAAGGATTGATCTTTTTACAAAGAGTAAGACCAACTTGCAATCTTAAGATCTAAATCCCTAGAATTCAATTTGAAACAAGTTCTCTCAAACCGTTTATCTGAATATATTACATAGCTATGCAAATTGTACATAAAGAGCTTGTTATCAGTTGTAAATTAATATTTGGCAAACTCCTACAGCGGGGCCCATAAAACTGTGGAATTTGTAATCAATGTTGTTTTAAAGCAAAGTATGTTTACCAGTATAAGCTTGTATACACTTCACCCCAATTCTTGTGTTTCATGTTGGTTGGACTATTCCTGTGTTTCATGTTAGTTAATCTATTCCTGTGTTTCATGTTAGTTTAACTATCTAAAATCTTGAATCTATTGGTCGTCTTCCTATTTCACTTTATTGGGGGTCCAACTGTAATAAGTCTTTTTCTTGGAGCGTTAATATTCTAGTTGACAACGGTTGAACCTTTATTATTCAGGTTGAAAACCGGAAAAACCAGTTGAGGTTAAGTTTATCCGAGTCCACCCGGAGTAGGATTAAACTAACAGAACGTGAACTCAAGCTTGCTCTGGGTAGGGGGGCAGCTATGGCACAGGTATGCTGCTGATCTATGTACAGGGTTACCATTAAAGGATGAGACTTCAGAGACGATTGCACAGAATTTGTTCCATTTTCTTATGTTGCGGATTCCCTGCGCAGCGACTGTAAATTTGTTTCTATTTTTCCAAATCATTATCATGATCGAAACCGTTTGATTGAAATTCAAGAGTTGATCAAAACCCTTAGTGCATTGTGTACATATGCAGTTTCAGACATTTGTTCTAAATAAGCTATGTACTATTGTAGCGTACTGCAATGTTATTGTTTAAACCACGGCCCGCTTATAGATATGCATCTATCTACCGATCTCTACTATTCTGGTCCAGCGTACATGTAATTTTGTAGTTTTACAGCTGTTTTTTCTACTAAGACCCTAGATTTGGAAAATTTAAACCTCTGCACTGCGTACTTAAGGTTTTACTTTAAAAATTTTTCATTCTGACTATTGCTCGTTCTATAAAAAATAATTTTTTCTTTTTAAAAAGTTTGAAGTGAAGTGAAGTTCAGGGTCCAAATCAGAGAAGAGCTTCCTTAGATTGTGGGCCCTGGAGTAAGCAGAAATGATTTACCGTACCTAAAATCTTGTAAATATAACACTGCCTCCTGAGAATTGGGTAGCATCTTATGCGCCCTGTTTTGAGATTTCCAAAATGTGGTCTGCAGTTTTCGTACCGTAAAAATTTACTGAGAAATTTGTCTAAAATTCAAATTATTAAAAATAACCAAGGTTGTTTAAATATTTAGTATCTCCGACAATTTTTATGGTACAAAGAAGGAGGCTAAATTTTACCTAGTTTAAAGACTTGTAATGTTTTTCTACAATACTTTATTGACAACTATTAACTTTACGAAAACCAATGACAAATTTATAAGTCCAGTGTCCAATGTCTAACGTACTGCATGACACCCCAGCCATAAAATGACATCAAACCTTGAATATGATATATCCATTCTATTATATATCCATGATTTAAACTGTAAATAAAGGTAAACGGTAAACAAACTTCTGTCCATGTACAGTACAATTGTCTGAGTAGTTTACATTGCTGCAGTACAGTACAGTTGTCTGAGTAGTTTACATTGCTGCAGTACAGTACAGTTGTCTGAGTAGTTTACATTTCTGCAGTACAGTACAGTTATCTGAGTAGTTTACATTGCTGCAGTACAGTACAGTTGTCTGAGTAGTTTACATTGCTTCAGTACAGTACAGTTGTCTGAGTAGTTTACATTGTTGCAGTACAGTACAGTTATCTGAGTAGTTTACATTGCTGCAGTATACTCTTGCCATTATATAAGCCATCTAAGGACTGTACTTAAGGCAGAAAACTTGGATTCGTCATATTTATAGAGTTTCAGGTCGTCTTTATAGTATTATCTTTTGTGGGTAACCCTGTAGTTGAAGCTGATCAAATGGAAATTAGTTTTATAATATTTTTTTTCTTCAAAATTGCTTTAATAAAACACGACTGATATTGAAAATTCAATTTTTTGGAGTTGCCCAATTTAGAAATATAATTATTTGATTTATTTTTCAAATTGATTCAGAGGTTTTACCCTGGTCATGTGATAAGCCGAGAGGGACAAGGATATCAGGCTTTCTGGGAGTCAAGGCAACTCAGGTAAAACTCACCTTAAAGGGATTCTCAAACGTTAGAACTATCGGGATTTTTCTGAAAAGATTTCACGGAGTTTGGTTTCTGTCGTCTTCATTTTGAAATAAAAATATAGATAGATTTTCGACATTGACATGTATACTAATATCAGCTAAAGTGGCCGGCGCTGACCTTGGAATTTAAAAATAAAATCGAAATTTGAAAAAAAAAAATTCGATTTAAAAATAAAAATTTCCATTTTGTAGAAAACAGTTTTGATTTTATTTACCGGGGGTACCCATATGAGTTTTCTCAAAAAATGTCAGCCAATTTGGTCCAGCCGTTTGGCCAGCTATAGCTTACATTTACATATATATGTATATATATATATACATAACTATATTATCCATAGACACATCAAAATATTAATTAATTTACAATTTACATATATATATATTTATTCATTAGTTATCCATAAATCAAATATGTATATTGTACACAGACGCTGACAAGAAATGCCTTTCATTAAAAAATCATGACTTTAAATGAAACATATTTTTTTTAATATGACAATATTTGCGGTTGACATGTAGGATTAATTGAATAGTTGTACTATAGTATTAAAGCTTTATCATAATAAGCAGAACTTAAAGAGAAAATATCTAAAAATACTTAGTAAACCCCCTTTCCCAGGAATTCATGAATCGCAAATTGCAAAACAGGGTGGACTTCTTGCCCCCCCCCCTACACGGGGGGGGGCGAGCCTTCTTAAGGGAGGGTCAAGCCCCCCCTTAATCAGGCTAGGGGGGGTCTTGCCCCCCCCCCCTAGTTGCGCGCCTGTAGCAAAACTATATGCTTTATCTTCTTCTTCATATTCCAAACTTCTATGAGTCCCATTGTTTATAAGATTATCCAAAACAAGTTTGCAGAGTTGAAAAATACTTTTGAATTTGTTGATCAAGGAAGAAAATTGATGATGTTGTTTCAGGCCTGAGGACTGGGTTGGATTGGTTTCTAATCTCTACTCCCAGATCTTTTCTCCGGATTTCCTTTGTCCTTTGCAGGACACGGATACAGTTTTCAATCTCAAGGTTGTATTCTTCAATTTATTGATCAGTGGTAGATAGGAATTTTTTCCATGGATTGATTTTTTGATGAAAAAACGAATTTATGGATTGGTTATTTTTATTAAAAAATGAATTTATGGATTGATTTTTAAAAAGTTGTTTGATTGGTTCAATGATATTGATTGATTTTCTGACATTTTAAAGACTAATTACTAATCAGCTGACGTGTTGGTTGATTATAGGGTTGTTTGAAAATATGCAAAAGATTTGAGTGTAAGCTAAGCTCTGAACATAGTTCCAGAATGATTGATGAAATCATATCTACATTACATGTGTGAAATACTGGGACCAACTGGGTCCGAATTGGATATCTGAATCTAGTCATGTAATTTAATTGGACTGATTGATTGATTGGAGCACTGGAACCTAACTAGATATTTGAATATGGTTCTAAAATCAGATTGGCAAAACTGATTTATAGATTGATTAATTGATTTATTGATATATCTAGGTTGAGCACTGGAACCTAACAAGATATCTGAGATATCTGAATATGGTGATGGAATCAGATTGGCATGATTGATTGATTGATTGATTGATTGCTTGATTGATTGATAAATCTAGATTGATTGATTGATTGCTGGATTGATAAATCTAGGTTGAACATTGGAACCTAACAAGATATCTAAATATGGGGATGGAATCAGATTGACATGATTGATTGATTGATTGATTGATTGATTGATGGATTGATATATCTAGGTTGAGCACTGGAACCTAACAAGATATCTGAATATGGTGATGGAATCAGATTGGCATGATGACCTAGATGTTGCTAAAGCTGTTCACACACCTAAAGGAAATATCAGTATACAGGTATAGAGAAGAATACAGCGGGAACCAGAAAATTGTGGAATGAATGTCGTCTTTGATTCTTCTTTATAATTAAAAAAGTCGATCAAGGTTTAAAAGTTTAAATTTGCTGCAGCTGATATATTTCTAAAAATGTTTAAAGGTCGAAAATTATACGTGCACTGAGCAGCTGATATATGTGCACTGAGCAGCTGATATATGTGCAGTTGATATATGTGGACTGTGCAGCTGATATATTTCTAAAAATGTTTAGATGTTGAAACTTATATGTGCACTGAGCAGTATCTTTAATTTTGAGCGCTTGATGCCCAATGTAAGCACTTTTAAATATGAGGATAAATGCTTTATCTCTCGTTATCCTTGCAGGCTGCCAGGTATAATTTTACCACGGGATTTTGGAATTAAATTAACCCGGATTGGGCTCCATTGGAAAGAATTGAGATAAATGCTTGATCCTGAGATTCATAATACAAAAGTTCTAACTTTGTTCAGAGGCAGAATTAAAAAAAATTGAGCCTGCGCTCAATTGGAACCGGTTTTTTGCAGATCAGTGACGCAGTTTAAATTCTTTAAATTCGGCCTCAGGGCAAGTTTTAAAAAAAACAATCATTTAAGAAAAGATGACACCATGAATTCCACTGTTTTCTGGTTCTCACTAAAGCTCATAAGAAATTTATTTGTCTAACACATGTTAAAATCAACCAAATAAATTTTAAAAACAACCAAATAAATATTAAAATCAACAAAATAAATGTTAAAACCAACAAAATAAATATCAACAAAATAATTGTTAAAACCAACAAAATAAATGTTAAAACCAACAAAATAAATGTTAAAACCAGCTAAAGAAATGTTAAAACCAACAAAATAAATGTTAAAACCAGCTAAATAAATGTTAAAGCCAACAAAATAAATGTTAAAACCAACAAAATAAATGTTAAAACCAACAAAATAAATGTTAAAACCAACAAAATAAATGTTAAAACCAACAAAATAAATTTTAAAACCAACAAAAAACCAACAAAATAAATTTTAAAACCAACAAAATAAATTTTAAAACCAGCAAAATAAATATTAAAACCAGCAAAAAAAATGTTAAAATCAACAAAATAAATGTTAAAACCAACAAAATAAATGTTAAAACCAGCTAAATAAATGTTAAACCAACAAAATAAATGTTAAAACCAGCTAAATAAATTTTAAAACCAACCAAATAAATATTAAAAATAAAACAAATGTTTTAAAACTTTTATTTTCTTAGGCCCCTGTTCTAGACGTTTCTCTTTTTAACCCGATGAAAGGTAAATTTTGTTGTAAAGTATTTTGATTAAAAAATGTCTGTCTAAAATTTAAATCATATTTTTAGCATCTTGTTATAAATCTAAATATGCCTGAGCAGTAAGCATACCATAAAACATTAGAATTAAAAGACGACTTAGGTTTATCTATAACGTGTAAACATGATTAGTCTAGTTATATTCTTTAACCATGTTAAAACCCCATTTTACTCTGATTTGCAAACGATGCTCTTTCTTTTTATATCTCTTCTAGAGATATTTTAGCCCTGATATAAAGATCTTAAAGGAACTGTTTTCGAAAATTTTAATTGAACTTCAATATAAAGAGGAACCGTACTCTTGAAACCTTTATCTGATCAATAATGTAAAAGATAACGTTGTTCTTCTAGCTTGAACAATGTTTAATTCTAATATTTTATTCATTGTTTCTGAAGCATTAAATACATTAAATAACTTTTGTGAATAAACCATAAATAATGAGTTTTCAAAAACAAAAAACATGGATATCTAATTTATACTTGATCAGACAAAGCTATTAGAGGTTCCGTTAAGGGAATAGGACATGCCACTCTTTCGATGGAAGGGGACTCAAAACTACGTTACACTGTGGCGGACAAGTCGTCCTACTTTCCGCCTTAATGTCTGCAACTACTTTCCTTGAAGATTCCAGCTGATAAGCTCATGTGATATTTAAAGTCAACATTTTTTATCTTATTTTCTTAAACACAACAAATATTGTCAAATTACTTAAAAAGAAAAGAATGCAAACTGCCCTTTGAAAAAAACACCCATTTTAATTTTTGAAAAATCAATATGATTTTCATGACAATGACATCAGACATCATGCAGAACATGATAAATAATTTTTTTTATACTGATTATAAAAGTAAATAATTTTAGAATTACATTTGGGTTCAACAATAAACTTTGAAAAATGGAGAAATAATATAAGGTATGTAAATGGTAAATACAAAGCGTCCCATTTCATATTAGATTATTTCCGAGAGTTAACCACGCACCCCTGACCCTTTAGTAAAAGTAAATTCAACCTAAAGTCTAACCGCGTCAACCTTGTTGCTCCGGCTAGTCCTTTTGAGTGTCTGCTTTATTTACCCAATGTCTGGGCGATACAGTAAAAACTAGGACCGGAAAGGTTTACCCGGCTCGAAAATTCAAATGTACTACGGCTGCCCGTGTAACGCCAAAATAGTTTCACCGTACAGAGATATTGAATATTTTCTATGTGCAAACTTTCAATAATGATTCAATGTCCCAATGGGAGCAGATCCAATATGATGTGGGACACCCTCTATCTATAATTGTCTAATTAAAGGATGTAATGCAAGGAAAGTTATTTCAGAAGTGTACACATCTTTTGTACTGCAGTGTACTGTCTCTGGGAGGTAATGTAAACACAAGACAGATGTCAAAGCCTGACATGGGATCCATCTTTCACATAAAAAAATCAATGAAATATTCTGGTCATAGGAAACTATTATATGAATTATCAAACTTATCAAAATTTAATGCTTTTAACCTCCTCGGATATTAAACGAACACTGAGGCATCTATTTTTTGTTTACAAATTCCGCCCAAAGAGGACTGGTTTCAATATGTACGCAGAGTATACACGACCGCAATTAACTTTCCTTGCATTAAACCCTTGGTCTAATTAAAATGTTTTGCAAATATTAAGAAAGATATAATTAGAAACCCCGATATTTTTGTTTACAAACACAGTGTACTGCAGTTTATGAGAAGAATAGATTGTTTATATTAATACCGCACACTGAACTAGACAGAAAGAGAAAGTCAAATTTTTGCGACATTACTGGTGAGACTTTGTGACCTCGTGGCTCCACAAGCATGAGATTAGTAAACTAATCCGGTTAAATATTGGAAATTCAAAATATTTTTTTCTATCTTAATAGTTTTTCAAAAAAGGAGATAATTAATGGGGGCTCCTGATGTATCTTTAGGCAAATAAAAATGCATTATTAATTGAGTAAAGCAGTATTATAGCGAGGGGGGAGGGGGGTTTAAAGATAATGTTTCCTTTTTTTCTAGGATCAATTTTTTTTTTGTAAAAACCAGGCAGAATATTTACTGTAGCTAAGGGCAGAACCTTTCTTGATAACAAAATTCTTTTTAATTTCAGTAAAGTGAATTTAGTTCCCCGTCTTCCGGTTCCACTTCCGGTCCCACATCCGGCACTAGTATCCATTATAATATATAACAGGTAGTTTTTCTTTCTTCCTTCCTGTCCATGTATTAGGTATTATATATGCCAAATAGTTTTATTTTAACATTTCATGTCTTTCCTGCCTTTTCTTTCTTCCTTCCTGCCCATGTATTATATATTACAGGTAGTTTTATTTTAACATTTCATGTCTTTCCTGCCCTTTCTTTCTTCCTTCCTGTCCATGTATTAGGTATTATATATGACAGATAGTTTTATTTTAACATTTCATGTCCTTCCTGCCTTTTCTTTCTTCCTTCCTGCCCATGTATTCGGTATTATATATTACAGGTAGTTTTATTTTAACATTTCATGTCCTTCCTGCCCTTTCTTTCTTCCTTCCTGTCCATGTATTCGGTAATATATATGACAGGTAGTTTTATTTTAACATTTCATGTCTTTCCTGCTTTCTCTTACTTCCTTCCTGCCTATATATTCGGTATGATATTTAACAGGTAGTTTTATTTTAACATTTCATGTCCATCCTGCCTTTTCTTTCTTCCTTCCTGCCCATGTATTATATATAACAGGTAGTTTTATTTTAACATTTCATGTCCTTCCTGTCTTTTCTTTCTTTCCTTCCTGCCCATGTATTAGGTATTATACATAACAAGTAGTTTTATTTTAACATTTCATGTCCTTCCTGTCCATGTATTCGGTATTATATATATATAACAGGTAGTTTTATTTTAACATTTAATGTCCTTCCTGCCTTTTCTTAATAGTTGGATAGATAGAAAGATATGTCTTCTCTGTCTTTCCTTTTAATATTCAAACCTTTCTTTTCTTTTACGTTTCTTTTGTTTCCTTGCCTTTACTTTTTTTCTTTCCCTCTCCTTTTGTTACTTTTACTTTTCTTTTTTATAGTTTCTTTTCCGTTACTTTTTTTCTTTTCCTTTCCTTTAGTTTCTTTCCCTTTCCTCTTGTTTCCTTTCCTTTCCTTTTGTTTCTTTTCATTTAGATCCTTTAGTTTCTTTTACTTTCCTCTTGTTTCTTTTCCTTTCCTTTTGTTTCTTTTCCTATCCTTTTGTTTCTTTTCCTTTCTTTTTGTTTCTTTTACTTTCTTTTTGTTTCTTTTCCTTTCCTTTTGTTTCTTTTACTTTCCGTTTGTTTCTTATATTCCTGTCCTAAACTACTATTTCCTTTCTGTAATCTTGTTCCCAACTTTGTTCCCTAAATAAATGTCTGCAACCAACTTTAGACTCCCAGACTCACTTAACCTTTTATATTTTCAGAGAGGCAGAGAATCCTTTAAACCTTGACAGCAGCAGATCTATACTCAGGTAAATAAAGGGATTGTATATCTATACTCAGGTAAATAAAGGGATTGTATATCTATACAAATAAAGGGATTGTATATCTATACTCAGGTAAATAAAGGGATTACATATATCTATACTCAGGTAAATAAAGGGATTGTATATCTATACTCAGGTAAATAAAGGGATTGTATATCTATACACAGGTAAATAAAGGGATTACATATATATATACTCAGGTAAATAAAGGGATTGTATTTATATACTCAGGTATCTAAAGGGACTGTATATCTATACTCAGGTAACTAAAGGGATTGTATATCTATACTCAGGTAACTAAAGGGGTTGTATATCTATACTCAGGTAACTAAAGGGACTGTATATCTATACTCAGGTAACTAAAGGGATTGTATATCTTTACTCAGGTAACTAAAGGGATTGTATATATATACTCAGGTAACTAAAGGGATTGTATATCTATACTCAGGTAACTAAAGGGATTGTATATCTATACTCATGTAAATAAAAGAATTTTATATATATATATATATATAGTTACGTAATTAAAGGGGCTGGATATCGATGATAAAAAATCCTATGGAATCTTTAAAACCCCAAATTATTCCCCTATGTATGAAGAGTAAAGACTTATTTGAAAATAATATAATAATTTTTACAGATTTTAATTTCATGGTGGAACAACGCTTAAAACTAATATAAAGTGGATGTTCATAATGGTTTGCCTTAAAAACAAACAAAAAACTCTCCAAATTGTTGTTTTTCAGAAAGAGCTTTGGATAACTTTTATAGTTAGTGTTTAAGAATTTAAAAGTCCAACAAAAAGTTTTTCTGTGGTATTTTTTTTAAAACAGATTTTCTAGTGAATTGGTCGGGTACAGCCAACCTATGTCTACAGAATACCTTCTTCTAACTGAGGAGGAGGAGCAGCAGAAGGAGGAGAAGGAGCGGGGCAGCCTGGGGAGCAGGGACAGCATGTACGAGATGGGATCCCTCATGGATTCCCTCTCCCACAGTGTAGAACATTTAGATACACAGGTCAGTTTATGTATAGCCACCACACACATTTTTAGAACAANAATTTAGTGATGATTATGGAAATATTAACAGTGATGATCATGAAAATATTGACAAATTTAGTGATGATCATGGAAATATTGAAAAATTTATTGATGATCATGGAAATATTGACAGTGATGATCATGAAAATATTGACAGTTATGATCATTGAAATATTGACAGTGATGATCATGAAAATATTGACAGTGATGATCATGGAAATATTCACAGTGATGATCATGGAAATATTGACAGTGATGATCATAGAAATATTGATAGTGATGATCATGGAAATATTGACAAATTTAGTGATGATCATGAAAATATTGACAGTGATGATCATGAAAATATTGACAAATTCAGTGATGATCATGGAAATATTGAAAAATTTATTGATGATCATGGAAATATTGACAGTGATGATCATGGAAATATTGACAAATTTATTGATGATCATGGAAATATTGACAAATTTATTGATGATCATGGAAATATTGACAACGATGATCATGGCAATATTGACAAATTTATTAATGATAATGCAATATTGACAAATTTATTGATGATCATGGAAATATTGACAGTGATTATCATGGAAATAATGACAAATTTATTGATGATCATGGAAATATTGACAAATTTATTGATGATCATGACAATATTGACAAATTTATTGATGATCATGGCAATATTGACAAATTTATTGATGATCATGGAAATATTGACAAATTTGGTGATGATCATGGAAATATTGACAGTGATTATCATGGAAATATTGACAAATTTATTGATGATCATGGAAATATTGACAAATTTCTTGATGATCATGGAAATATTGACAGTGATGATCATGGCAATATTGACAAATTTATTGATGATCATGGCAATATTGACAAATTTATTGATGATTATGGAAATATCGACAGTGATTATCATGGAAATAATGACAAATTTATTGATGATCATGGAAATATTGACAAATTTACTGATGATCATGGCAATATTGACCAATTTATTGATGATCATGGCAATATTGACAAATTTTTTGATGATCATGGAACTATTGACAAATTTAGTGATGATCAAAGGGAATGTTCATGCATGTACTGATAATCATGGAAATGTAACAAATTTGGTGATGATCAATGATTATGCAAATGTACACAAATTGTACTCACTACAGTACAATAGTACACTAATACAATAAAACTAAGTTCAATAATAAATAATATTTGCTAGGTCTGAGATAAATGCGGGAAAGTTGAGACAATCACCCAACAATTCGTTTAACGGTTCAAGGTAACTTTTCCAATTTACAGATTTTATAGAACGTTTTTAATTTTTAAAAAAACGTTTTTTTATTAGTCATAATTATTTTATCGATTGGCCTAATGTTCTTATGCAGAGTACTTTACAACAATATTAGAAGACAGCTGTCAACAACATTTTTGGATTTGTTGCAAATAGTTTTTAAAAATACCTATTAAACCCATTTTAATTATTACTGAACGCTCCTTTTAAATAAAACTTTGCTTATAAGAAAACATGGTGACTCAAATTAGAGCTACCAATTATTTTAGCTTAAAAATTCATATTTTTTAAAAAAGAATTTGCACAAATTTTCTATTAATCCGATTTTTAAAATATATTTCTAAAAACAGCTGATTTCTAGATATACTCCGGGCTCAGAGAGACGGGTCACATGTTCTCAGGGGTCACTAGCTAGCGCTAGGAACGGTCAACCTTATCTCAATAAATAGATAGATAGATAGATAGATAGATAGATAGATAGATAGATAGATAGATGCCCAATATTGGTATTTTTTCAAGATAATATATATCCTCCTGTAATGTTGTAATGCAGTACAAAATAATTGGGTTTGGGAATACAGACAAACAATCATATAATATATATATATTTATATAGTATAATTCTTTTTTAATAAAAAATGTGAAGTTAAAAACTGAAATATATATATTTATATATATAATATATGTTTATTATAATTTGTAATGTTTACTGTTTTCATATATTTCCGATACAAGAGTCAAGACCAAAGTGTTAGAGGTTGTTTATTATTTTAGTAAAGAAATAATTTTAAATAAAGAAGGTTACGACTGCAGATTGCAAAAGTATAAAGATTAAAAATTCGGGTTGTTGGCAAGTTTTCAATTATACGCAACCCCATTTTTTAATCCCCATTTTCCCAGTACAATTTAATGTAAATTTTAAACTTATTTTGAGAAGTACATTTTTTTCAATGAATACAAAAAAGTCACAACTTTATTCTTAAGAAGGATGAATAGCTAGCTCCACACAGTGGACTAGGGTCAATTTGAATTCGAACCGGTACGACCCCTTGTACCGGCCCGACCATATCCGCTGTCGGCTCAGTTAATCAACTTTGACGCGCGGCCAGACTTTTTACAGTACCTGGCCTATCATAGGCCTATTTGACTTATCCCATGCACTATAGCTTAGTTTGTTGTGTCCAGATATATGTGGATAGATGAGTTGACCGCTGGTTTAGGATTGCAAGTGCAGAAGATGTAAGATTAGATGACTTCAATGAACCTAAACATACTGCAGTGTAAGACTGTATACACTTAAGCAGCCTACTCTAGTCATCATCGTTACAGTATTTCATCATAATGTTGTACAGTAAACTGTTCACGTAATAAACATACTCTGTACACTAATTCAACATACTGCAGTACAGTAAACTGTACAGTATTTCATCATAATGTTGTACAATAAACTGTACACTAATTCAACATACTGCAGAGCCCAAAACTTAAGACAGGGTATCGTTATGAAAACCAGTTTTGAAACCCGGGTTTCAAGAATGGGGTTAGGCAGTTTTGTGGATATCAATATTTTTGTTGTGAAATATTATTTTATTAAGTTTCTTCATATTCTTCATTTTTTAAAATTTCTTAAATCAAAATCTACACAATTGCCAAGACCCCAAAAAGGAAACTCGGGAGTTTAGTTCAACGATACTCTTTTAAATTTCGGGCTCAGTACAGTAAACTGTACAGTATTTCATCATAATGCTGTACAGTAAACTGTACATTTATTCAACTACTGCAGTACAGTAAACTGTACATTTATTCAACATACTGCAGTACAGTAAACTGTACATTTATTCAACATACTGCAGTACAATAAACTGTACACTTATTCTTCATAGTGTAGTTATGCTGTACAGTGAGCTAACCTATTTTTCTTTTTACATAATAGTTATGCGCACACTGATGTAATATGTACAGTTTCATGATTCTGTACGTACTTATGTAAGTGGATTTATCTGTACAATTTACTAGAAAATCTTAGCCTTACTTTTATACAATGTACAGTGTATGTACAGCAATTAAATAACTGCTTTACGTTGTCATTATTTTTTGTCTTATAAATCTAGCTGTATTGCACATAATTTCAATAATTTTTTCTGTGCACTAGAAAAAAGGAAATTACTTTCTTAAAAATGAGCATTATAAAAAGTTCCTGAAATCATAAAAATGTTTGGTTTGTTTACTCTTATAAATTTTTATCGAAAACCATCAGTATTTGTATCAATAAAGTTGAACAATTGTATCTATATCCAGAGTTAATAAAATGAAAAATGTTGTCAACCCTTTTTATTTTGTTATCCCTCATTATTGGATATTCTTTGATACAAAGGAAACTTATTATTGAAATTCTTTTATTAAAACAAAGTTAATTACTTTTCCAGTGGATGAATAAAATTTTGATTCAGGCGAAAAAGAAAGAGAGCTAAGAAGGCAGCGTTTGTTATTGAGTAGTTTCGGCTCTGCTGTATGCTGTATCCGGAGTTTGAAACCTTCATCCGCAACCTACTCCGTCCTATTCCTCTCTACTCCGTGCTGTATCCGGAGTTAGAAACCTTCATCAGCAACCTACTCCGTCCTATTCCTCTCTACTCTGTGCTGTATCCGGAGTAAGACACCTGCATTAATAACCTAATCCGTCCCATGTCTCTGCTCTATACTGTGTCCGGAGTAAGAATACTGTATTAACAACATAATCCGTCCCATGTCTCGGCTCTATACTTTATCCGGAGTAAGAATACTGTATTAACAACATATTCCGTCCCATGTCTCTGCTCTATACTGTATCCGGAGTAAGAATACTATGTTAACAACATATTCCGTCCCATGTCTCTGCTCTATACTGTATCCGGAGTTAGAATACAGTATTAGCAACATATTCCGTCCCATGCCTCTGATCAAGGCTGTATCCGGAGTAACAATACTGTATTATTAACATATTCCGTCCCATGTCTCTGGTCTATGCTGTATCCGGAGTAAGAAACCTGTATACTAATAACATATTCCGTCCCATGTCTCTGTTCTATGCTATATCCGGAGTAAGAATACTGTATTAACAACATATTCCGTCCCATGTCTCTGCTCTATACTGTATCCGGAGTAAGAATACCATCTTGTGCACATCTACGGTTTGATTCGATATCTCGAGATCAAGCATTGATCTCCATCTTGTTCAGATCTACGGTTTGATTCGATATCTCGAGATCAAGCATTGATCTCCATCTTGTTCAGATCTACGGTTTGATTCGATATCTCGAGATCAAACATTGATCTCCATCTTGTGCACATCTACGGTTTGATTCGATATCTCGAGATCAAGCATTGATCTCCATCTTGTTCAGATCTACGGTTTGATTCGATATCTCGTGACGGTAACACCCTGTATGTATAACTTTAATTGAGGAATCAAGAATTAATTCCTCAGATTTAAAAGTGCCAATATTTGATATAGAAATCAAAAATTCAAGATTAACAATTTCCACACAAAAATATTGAGATTTGTTAATTATTTCTATATAAGAGTGTATTTGTGTATTTGTAAATATTGTAAAATATGTTCACAGGACAATAATTCTGTGACACCCTTTAAACTAAAATAATACATTATCCTGTACACCCTGTAGTTTTCAATAGCTCCGAGTACGTGTTATTTCACTGAAACTGAACCCAGCGTGAACATTCAGATTAAAGATAATTTAGCGTAAGCTTTGCTTCATATTGTCCGTCCCACCAGTTATAATCTATACCTGGAGTTAACTATTCGTTCCACCAGTTATGATTTATACCCAGAGCTAACTACTAGTTTTGATCTATACTATCCAACCTACCACTTCCAATCAAACCCCCAGGGCTAACATCCTTCTCACCAGTTCTAAACTCAACGGATCGTCCAACTAGTTCTAATCTCAACCTATAGCTATGGTCCACTATTCCAAGTACTTCTAATATAAACCAAAATACACCATCCATTTTACTAACTCTATTATGTATTGAGTTAGTTATCCGATACCTGAACCTGCACTGGAGCAAGATATCGTCAGATCAATCTAACCCAAGCCAGCTGCTTAGTTTGCCATCTAAACCCATAAGCAACAATTTGCTTCACCAGTTCTAATTTGAACCCGAATCTGATTATTGGCCTTAGCAATTCGAACCTATCTGTACGTTCTCCAGAGAGGCTAGCTCTCCGTCAGTTCAATTATAATCAGAGTGATTATTCGTCCTACCCAGTTCCAATCAAGAGCTAATTTTCCGTCCTATCAGTTCCCAAGAGCTTTTCAAAACGTACAAAGAGCTATCTCTCCATTCTACCAAGTTTCAGTCTATTCCATGAGCTAACTATTCGTCAGACCAGTATCAATCTGAACCCAGAGATAACTTGCCGTCCTTCCCGGTTCCAATCTAAACCCAGAGCTAACTATCCGTCCTACCCAGTTCCAATCTAAACCAAAATCAGATCATCCGTCCTATTACCGCCTTTCAAGTTCGAATCTGTACTAAAAATCCGTTCTGACAGTTCTAACCTTGAGAATTAACATTGCACCCTGGCCTGCAAGGTATAAACTTTACAAATGTTTTTGTTCGTGTTTTATGATATTTATTCAGAAATATAATTCATATTTGTGATAAAAGCAAAAGTATTTCCAACACAACTTATTTTCCCTTTGTACTTTTATGGAAAATATAGTTTGAAAAGTTATTTTTCCCAATATTGATTTTCCTAGGAAATCTGCTCCTGGAGATGAAGGCCTGTAAACCTTTGATCCTTCCTCTAACCCGGATACAGCTTAAACTGAACAGGAACAAACCTTACTCTTCTGCCAATCCGTCCCACATCGTTTTTCTCATTCAACCATATTCTCCTTGTCCAACCTTATTCTTCTCATCCAACCTTATTCCTCTCATCCAACCTTATTCCTCTCATTCAACCTTATTCCTCTCATTCAACCATATTCCTTTCATCCAACCTTATTCCTATCATCCAAGCTTATTCCTCTCATCCAACCTTATTCCTCTCATCCAAGTTTATTCCTCTCATCCAACCTTATTCCTCTCATCCATCCTTATCCCTATCATCCAACCTTATTCTTCTCATCCAACCTTATTCCTCTCATCCAACTTATTCCTCTCATACAACCTTATTCATCTCATCCATCCCTACCATCCAACCTTATATTTCTCATCTAACCTTATTCCTCTCATCCAATCTTATTCTTGTCATCCAAACTTATTCATCTCATCCAACCTTATTCATCTCATCCAACCTTATTCCTCTCATCCAAACTTATTCATCTCATCCAACCTTATTCCTCTCATCCAACCTTATCCCTACCATCCAATATTATTCCCCTCATCCAACATTATCCCTACCATCCAATCTTATTCTTCTAACCCAACCTTATTCCTCTCATCCTTATCTTACTAGACCCCAATGTTTGATTAAAATGTCGTCTTTTGGGAAGAACTCATTATTATTTACTAGTTACAAATAGGCAGTTTAAAATGATAATCAGCAGCGTATACAGGTGCTCAACTTTTTTGCCATTCCAGGGGGGAAGGCTTAGCTCGAAATCACAATTTTGACATCTCCAGGGTGGGGGGTGGAAGGGGGGGGGCTTAGCTCGAAATCACAAATTTACCTCCGGGGTGGGGGGTGGGAGGGGGTCTTAGGGAAAGAGAGGAGGAGGGTCTAAAAGTCTTATACTAGGACGGACTCAATAATAATTCAAATGAGCCAAAAAATAGTTCAAATGAGCAAAAATATAGCTAAAATGAGCAAAAGAATAGTTCAAATGATCGCTAAAAAAGTTACTCATTTGAACTGTCTTTTTGATTCATTTGAAAATATTTTTTTTGCTCATTTTAACTATTTTTTGCTTATTTGAACTGTTGTTTTGCTCATTTGACCTATTTTTTTGTTAATTTGAACTATTTTTGCTTCATTTAAATTATTTTTTTTGCTCATTTGAATTATTTTTTTGCTCATTTGAAATATATCTTTTGGTTAATTTGAACTTTATTTTAATTTGCTCATTTGAACTATTTTCTTGGTCCTTTAAATTATTTTTATGTTTATTTGTGAAATATTTTTTGGTCATGTAAATTTTGTGATGAAATTATTTGACCTATATTTTTTCATGAAATATAAAAATTTTAAACTGCATATTTAATAGTTCATATGAGTAAATAATGTGTTGTTTGAACTACAGAAAATTACGTCATTATCAGTAGCTAGAATGAACAATAGTTCAAATGATCAATAGTTCAAATGATCGATAGTTCAAACGGCAGTAGTTCAAATGCGGATCCACCAGAAAAGGTTAGATTAAGGTTAGAATTGAAGATAAAAAGAGTTAGGTTTGATTTAAAAAGAATGTAACAACTTAGGGTTGGATTTAAGATAATTTGTAACATTATCTAGGGTTGGATTAAACAGAAAAGGTAAAGATTAAAATTTGGATTAGAGAGGATTTGAACAAAATTTAGGATTGGATTAAAGAGAATATAGAGAACAAAAAAGGTTTGAAATAAAGAGAACAAGGTAAAGGTTTGGAATAAACAGAATAGAACAAGGTAAAGGTTTGGAATAAACAGAATAGAACAAGGTAAAGGTTTGGAATAAACAGAATAGTACAAGTTAAAGTTTTTGATAAAGAAAATAGACTAATATAAAGGTTTGGACTTATTAGAATAGTCAAATTAAAGTTTGAGTTGAATAAAATGGAATAAGATTAAGGTTTGGATTGAAGAGAATAGAATAAGATTAAGGTTTGGATTGAAGAGAATGGAATAAGATGAAGAATAGAGATCTGGAATTATCATATGAATGGTCGGATTCAGAGGTAGAATTAAAACTAATTTCAAACTAATTTATTCTTTCATATCGTTTCCATCGAATATAATTTTTTTTAAATTCATCATATCAATCACAATTATGTATCCACCATTTTACTTGATCCGCCATTTTGCTTGATCCGCGATTTTGTTATTCCGACATTTTGCTTGATCCGCCATTTTGTTTAATCCGACATTTTGCTTGATCCGCCATTTTGTTTAATCCGACATTTTGCTTGATCCGCCATTTTGTTTAATCCGACATTTTGCTTGATCTGCCATTTTGATTTATTTTAGACTGACGATGAACCGGAAGAGCCAATGCCAGCTACCTTTAAGGGAAATTATTCGTCTTGAAATGAACATTTCAAACCATATTTTTAAAACGATTTTTAACAATTTTATTTTTCATTACATTTTTTCACTTGTGATTTCAATTTCGGTGTGCCAAAATTTTATAAATGAAGTTTTGTTAATGAAAAGGGTTACACAGTTTTTAATGAGACTGATAGAAGGCGCTGAACGAAGAGGGAGGGGATATATCTTTCATTCCCCCCTGCACATGCTACAAATGTGCACCGTGCCATCTAAAAACATCCTCAACATTAATTTTTTTATTTGATTTCCTCCAGTTTCTTTTGTTGTCTAAAATTTCTAAAATTCTATATTCTTTGTAAGTTTCTAATCCTGCTTCTCTCTCAGAGTATCTCAATTCAATTAAGTTTAATTTCACACTTCTTTAGAATTTTTTAAAAAGGAAACACATTTACAAAAAGGAGTTCTCATCGTGTTTTAACAGAGGAATCACTAATCAGTAAATTGATTTGCACCGCAAGTGTGCCATGCCTGAAATGTAAAACTTTGGGTTTACTTTAAGTCACAAACAAAATATTTACGACTCTAATTTTCTAGTTCCTTTATATTTAAAACCTGATGGTGTAAACCTTTGATATTTGATATAGCAGAACCCATAGTATGATATAACAAAGTTCATACGACGTCGACATCACGCTGCATATATATAATAATTAGACTATTAGAGTATGAGAAGAGTAATCAGTCTAACACTTTTGAGACAAGAACAAGCCAAAGAAATTGATCGAATCTTTGCTGTAAACTCAAATATTCTGATCTCTATATCTTTGCAACCCAATTTCGCAGACCTTGGATATTTCAAATTATGAGTTCTGTTATGCTAAATAATCTAGGTTTAAAATATCAATGGTTGCAAAGATATAGGAGTTAAAAAATTTTAGTTTGTGGATACAAAGTATAAGTAAAGATTACTTTTAGTTAAAATTTGAAAAATAATTGTAAATGTGCAAAGAAGGTTCTAAGAGAGCGAAGTACTGGTCCCACTAAACGAGGAAGGACGGATAATCAAGAGGTGCAGATTATGGTTTCCAATTTGGTTCCGTAAAAGCTTAATTTACGGAACCTTTCCTGAAGCACTTTTGAAAAAGAAGAACGTAACTGGAAGACATTGAAAACCTTGTAAATATCTATGAAAACCTTGAACAAAACATCGAATCTTGTCTTCACCAAGTCTTAAGAATAAAAAAATCGTAAAAAGATCAGATTAAAACCGAGTCTTGCTTAAACTTAGCTCTCTGCTCGGCCTTTATTTGGGTCTAATTTGGTGCTAAAACAACGGTTTCTTAGGTTTATTTTTTAAGCCAACTTCTGCTACTTACAAAGGCAAAAATAGTAATGATAATTTTTTTAAGTCAAATATTTTATTTAGAATCTGCATTTTCTGTTTTTGACACATCATTAAAACCTCATCCTCGTTTTCACTGGAATGAAACTAGAACTATTTGTGCAAATGACCTGCAAAATATTTAGAAAATTCATTTTCAATCCTAACTAAAAATGAAACCCAAAGTTTTTTTATGATGGGAACTTTTAATCTTATATAGATTGTTTAATTCTTATGAGTTAAACTCAAAGAGAATAGAATATATATTAGAGTGGAATTTACTAGAAAATAGTGTAAAACGGCCATTTTGTTGTACTGTTTCCATACTGCAGGTGTACTTCACATATTTGTGCTATATAACCTTTTGGGCCCTGGAACATCATTTTATAGAAAATCTAAAATTAATGTTAAAAGAACACCAAATCATGGAATAGGCTGGTTTCATAATTGACCAATGATCATTTCACATAGACTCTATGCCTTCCACTTTACAAACGATGATTTACCGTTATAACTATAAATCAAGTGATGTTTTTATTCACCTAATTCATTATAAAGTTTATTAAACAGCTTTAAAAAATTCAAAATTGAAATGGATAGTCTAGGGAACATACTGTATTAATGTACTCTACTGCATATAATTTGTGAACATTTACATGATTTGTACACTTTTAACTCCCTGAAAGGGACTGAAAAAACTCATACCGAGGGATTTTCTAAATTCCACTCTAATATATATTCTATTCTCTTTGGTGAAACTCTTGCTCCCCGAAACTTCAACGTTTCTCAAACCAGTTTTTTATTGGTAAAAAGAAAATAACCTGATCAGGCATATTTCAATATGAATGCATTTTTAACCCTTACTGAGAATAAATATTTTTATCTTTGTAAAAAAATTTTTTTAAATATTATGAGTTAAACTTCTAAATTCAAAAGTTTCAGCCAGTGAGTCTTATATAAATAGTGTTTCTTTATTATAAGCAGAACCCCCTACCTCAAAAACCCCACTGAAAATTATAAATTTCCCCAGACTGAAAAAGTATAAAAAGGCTTTTGACTGAAAAACGTATTACGGTTAAAAACGTAAACTGTAAATTTCCTAATTTTCATTTGATTCGAAAAAATCATAAGTTAATTAATTTTCCTTTTGTGAAAATTAAGATTAAATCGGAACCTTTACAATTTCTAATGAATCTTTTTTCAACCAACTGCAGATGATACAAATGTAAGGGGGTATTGTTCATTTAAAAGGACTGTAAGCGTTATTCTAAGCGACCTTCATACGCTAAGATGACAATTCCCGAGTCACAACGGTACCCTTAAAACCTGATCAATAATATGGAAGAAATGCGCAATGTCACTTTTTTAGAGAAACCACATTTGAAAATAATCATTTTCCAAAATTAAGAGCATTGATATCTAATTCAAACTTGACCAGACAAAGCTTTTAAGGGGTCCGTTGTGAATCTTATCATGGACGGTCACATGAAACTAAGCGTACAGTCCCTTTAAAGGGAGTGTTCGCGTTTAAAGGGAGTGTTTAAGGATGACAAAATTCGTTTGCAATCGTTCTTTTTAAACCTAGGATTATCTGAGTAGAACATTGCAGAGATTTCATAGTTTATCTATATAAAGATGCGTTTAACATTCTTTTAAAGAAATCGCTCGCGAAAAATGAAAGAGGGCATGAGATTAATTCGAAGTTCAAGGGAGTGACTGCAAAAAATGAAAGGGGGTTTAACCGAGTGGGAAGGGAAAAACAATTATCGCAGATTTAAATCCAATTAAATTGGGATTCATCCTATACCCCCTTTTATTTTGTGCGAACACTCCCTTTAACATAAAAATATTTTTAGGAGGAAAGAAGATCTGAACTAGATTCCATTCCCAGGAAAATGATGAAAAGAGCAGACATTAGCAACAAACATAACTTTTCAGGCCTGCAGTAATTTAAGAATACCAACAATAAGAGTGTTAAGCTCAACTGATCTATCATTGGCCATAACATTTGGAATTTAATCAATGAGAGATCGGTTAAATCTATTATTGTCTATTATTGGCCAAAACATCGAGTATTTGATCGATGATAGATAAGTTATGTCTAACCAATCTAACTTGTCCAGAACGTTTTGAATTAAATCAGTAAAATATCAGTTAGATCTAATTAATCTAACTTGGCCAAAACGTTTGGAATTCAATCAGTAAAGTATTAGTCAAGTCTAATTAATCTAGCATGGCCAAAACGTTTGGAATTTAATCAGTAAAATATCAGTTACATTTAAATAATCCACTATGGCCAAAAGGTTTGGAATTCAATCAGTAAGATATTAGTTAAGTCTAACCGATCTAACTTGGCCAAAACGTTTGGAATTTAATCAGTAAAGTATCAGTTAAATCTAACCAATCTAACTTGGCCAGAACGTTTGGAATTTAATCAGTAAAATATCAGTTAAGTCTAACTATTCTAATTTGGCCAGAACGTTTGGAGTTCAATCAGAGTAAAATATCAGTTAGATCTAATTAATCTAGCAATGGTCAAAACGTTTGGAATTTTAACAGTGATACAAAAGTTTTACTGTTTTACTGGTCTGCCATTAGCCAAACCTTGAAGCATTTGATCAATGATAGATTAGGTTAGGTCTAACTGCTGTAGCTTTTCCAAAAACGTTAGAATTTGAAAAATAAGCCTCATCAGTGCGTCATTGGCCATCATGTCAAGCATTTGATCAATAATAGATCGCTTAAGTCAAATTGGTCTATCTTTAGTCAATACTTTTGGACTGGGATTTATTAGGGATTTGTTAAGTCTAACCGGCATATTATCATTGGCCTACATCTTGAATATTTGATCAATGAAATATGTTTTTAAGTCTTTTTATGTGGCTAAAATGTGCTTAATTTGATCAATGAGAGATTTTGCTTCGATCTAATAGGTCTATCTTTGGCCAAAACGTTTGGACATGGATTTATGAGGGATTGGTTAAGTCTAACCTAGCATATTATTGGCCTACATCTTGAATATTTGATCAATGAAAGACGCTTCTTGCCTATCATATTTGGCTAAAACTTGAAATAACTTGATCAAAGAGAGATTTTGGTTAGGTCGAACTGGCCTGTTCATTATTCATTGGCCAAGATATCGAGCATTCAATAATAGGTCAAACTGGTCTATCATCTGTGACCAAAACTTTTGGACTTTGGATTTATGAGAGATTGGTTAAGTCTAACTGGCATATATAATTGGCCTACATCTTGAGCATTTGATTAATAAAAGATGTAGGACATGATATTTGGATTTTTTAATAAAAGAAATACTTTTTGTATAAACCTTTCAATAATTATCTGTGATGTTGTTTTAGTGGCAGGATCTTCACAAAATTCCACAGAAAGTTTGAAAATGAAGTTCCAGGGACCAGAGATGATTTCTGGGGAAACATTCCAGGGCCCAGAAAGGAGTCCTGGAAAGTCTTCTTCACATTTGAAGGAAAAAGGAGAAGGGAAGGATAGGATAAGCCTTGAACCCCTTGACAGTTGCACTCATGGCGAGTAGTTCAGTCAGAATAAAGACATTAAACCAAAAAAAGGCTGGGTAATTAAGGGGGAGGGGGGGTTACCGGGCGGCCGGATGTACGGGGGGGCAGATTTATAGAATTTAAAAACGCAGAATCATTTTTAACTCTTGATGAAAAGCATTTAATTAGAAGTGCTGAAATTGTTCAAGAGTTGGAAAGTAAATGAGTTTCAGCCACAAACTCCAAATTTTCTTATCACTTTATTTTGCAACTCAATGTTGTAGACCTTTGATATTTCTAACGATGATTTTTGTTAGACAACATAATCTTAGTTTGAAATATCATAGGTTTGATGTTTTGAACCATCAGGTTGTAAAGATAAAGGAATAGGAAAATTTGAGTTTGTGGCAAAAATTCAGTTTCTTTCTGAGTGCAGGTTAAATATATTGTATAAATGTGTGGACATTTTTTAATTATAAAAGTTTTAAAAACATCCGCAGAGTCTCAAGAACCAATAGGAAATCAGGAAATCTAATACGATAGGTTTCGTTTAGCCACTATTAAATACCTGACAGAAAAAGAAGATGAACCAGCAAAATATTTAAGCTACTTCTTACTCATTCATAAATTTCCATCCCTGTTAAAACATAACATTAAACAAGGCACAGCTTTTACTCAAAGTTTTTATTATACTTATTTTTTACATTTTATAAAAATTGTCATTTAAGTAAAGATTTTATTTTAACATTTTTTTTCATATTATGTATTGGGCTGGCATTGCAATATTTAACATGCCGATTTGGTTGGGAAAAAAAAAATTTCTTACTTTTGTTCATGATTGTAATTTTGATTTTATAATTAACTAAATAAAAATAAAAAATAAAAAACCAAGCTTTTTTTTGTTAGAAGCTAGAGTTTTACTGAAGCATGGGACCAAGAGATGAAAATTTATCTAGACACCATAATAGGTTCATAACGACTTAAAAGGCACTGAATAATACATTTTAAGTGACCCTCCATTTATAGAGTGGAGTGATGGAGTGAGTACAAAACGCCCAAAACAAAAAGCTTAACCCAAAACGTAGAAACGCTCAAAAAAACGATTTTTATTCAAATGGTTAAAAACCCCATTTGGACAAATAATTTCCCGATACAATTAACACACTATTTTCAGCGAGAAAAACGTGGATTCCTACGAGGGCGATAGTTTGTGGGCTTCCTGCAAAAGTGACTTGTGCATTTCTTGCTTATAAGAAACAACGGAGAAGTAGGCAGAAATAAATGCTTTTAAATTCAGAAAAACGACGTTATCTTCCACATTTTTGTTTAAATTAAGAATCATGGGTCGAGTTGAAAATGGGTTATTGAAATCTTTGCATGTAGGGTCATTTGATATTACGCCTACAGTCCCTTTAAGATGAACACCTCTCTTATATAATATACTGTAGCGACGAAAGGAATAAGACCAAATGAATAAGACCAAATGAATAAGATCAAATAAACTGACTGAATATATATTTATCAAAAACAGTATTTATACTAGATGCAGTATATCATAATCTAAACAATAACATGTGAAGTATGGAATAGGCTGTGTACTGCATTCCAGGAATCCAGGGGCGCCACAATACTAAATTAACAACAATAAATGAGAAAAAGGAATAAAAAGTTGATAAATGAAGACTAATAGAACTAGAAGGATATATTAAATGAGATTTTTATTTGACACAGTTTTCACAAATGAAAAATATAAAATTTTAAGTGTTAAGTTGTTTTTCTTTGAATGTCCAATCCACTGGAAATACGCAACAAATCTGAAAACGAAGATTTCCCAAAGAAACATAATTGTAACTTAGGTTTTCTCCAATTATCATTTTATAATTTTTATTTTTATTTTTAATAGATATAATGTTACCATGGAATGGGGTTTCTGCATCGAATGTGGGGCCTACTGACACTGCGTGTGTAGAGCGTGTTAGGCCCACGAATTCACCAGTGCATAGTAGGATGGTCAATCTAAGAAGCAGTCGGTCCTAATCTGCTCGGTTGGATCGGAGCTGTGGGAAAAACAATATGCTGTTGGAGGAGATACGTTGCCAGAGGAGATATGTTACTGGAGGAGATATGTTGCCGGAGGAGATACGTTGCCAGAGGAGATATGTTGCTGGAGGAGATATGTTGCCGGAGGAGATATGTTGCCGGAGGAGATATGTTGCTGGAGGAGATATGTTGCTGGAGGAGATATGTTGCTGGAGGAGATATGTTGCCGGAGGAGATATGTTGTCGGAAGAGATATGTTGCCGGAGGAGATATGTTGCCGGAGGAGATATGTTGCTGGAGAAGATTTGTTGCCTGAGGAGATATGTTGCCGGAGGAGATATGTTGCTGGAGAAGATAGGTTGCCGGAGGAGATATGTTACTGGAGGGGATATGTTGCTGGAGGAGATGTTGCCGGAGGAGATATGTTACTGGAGGGGATATGTTGCTGGAGGAGATATGTTGCCAGAGGAGATATGTTACCAGAGGAGATATATTGCCGGAGGAATATTTCATTTTAAAGTAGGTGTCAAGCCATAGGAGTTATCTAGACAAAGGAAGTATGTAGCCAAAGGAGTTAATTAGGCGGGGATCCAGGGGGGGGTCAAGATAATCTTTTGGTCCACTCCCCTTTTTTCTGGAAACTAACCTAAAAGTTTACTGTAACTTGTTTTCCAGGAGATACAAAACTAATTTTTTGGTCAAATCAGCCTTTTCTCTGGGGAAGAAAGGATTTTTAAATTCTTAAAATGAATCCTAAAGAAGCTTTCCACAACACTGCATACTCAGTTTAAATACCTTACATAGCCGGTCTGTCCCTTTAAAGGTTTAAAGGGTTCTGTTGTGTTTAATGGGTACGTTAAGAAAAAACACCTTTAAATCTTTACTTATTTGCGACCAAAAAAGAATATTAAAACATTTGACCAAATTTCCACTGTGTTGTGTCCACGAAGAGAAAAAATAATTTTTCCAGTAATGTCTCGTATTTCTCTCTTCAACAGTCTAGACACTCAAACATTATGCATTTCATAGAATTTACATATTTCTTTTTACATTGTTTACAGATGTTTGTATCATATATTTAACATATATTCGTCATATATTCTCATATATTAATCATATATTCTCATATATTAATCATATATTCATCATATATTCATCATATATTCATCATATATTCATCATATATTCATCATATATACATCATATATTCTCATATATTCATTATATATAAATCATATATACATCGTATATTCATCACATATTCATCATATACTCATCATATATTCATCATTTATTCAGCATGTATTTATTATTTATATTCATGATATATTTATTATATATTCATTATATATTCATCATACATTCATCATATATTCATCATATGTTTCTCATATATTCTCATATATTCATTTTATGTTCTCATTTATTCAATGATTCATCATCTGTATATATATATATACATAAAATGAGTAACTATTGATATTTTTTTGTATTTTTATAATATAAATAAACTGTTTAACAATTAATAGTGTTTCAGTAGATTACTGACATCCTTGATAAGCCAAGGGTTTAAAGAGCACCGTTGTAAATTGGCGAGTATTATCATTATTATTATTCATTCATCTCTTCTTTTCTCAATTCAATTTAAATAATTTGAATTGAGAAAATGATTTATCGGCATTAGTTTTGAATTAATTGATTGCAATCTCAAAAGTGTTATGTCGCGTGCCAGTCCAATTTTTATTCTACTGTTCATTGCCAAAACCCGTATTACACCTAAAGAAAAATGTCTTCACCGAAAAACAGCATTTTAAAATTGATTTTAAAATTGATTTTCTGTGATCTTTTCATATAAAAAGAGGCATTTTACAGTTTAAGCCAGGATTCACCTGAGCCCTACCCAGGTTTCCTCCCATTAGTTTGGGTTTGCACACCTTCTCTAGGTTGGATTAGGAGCAGGAGAGGACGGAGAAACCTCGACTCCTGGATCCTTAGTTCATCTCAACCAATGATTAGGTTCATATCACTCTACACTCTACAGTCTATCTATACTCTACACTCTACACTCTACGCTCTACACTCTACAGTCTATCTATACTCTACACTCTACACTCTACACACTACACTCTACACTCTACACTCTACACTCTACACTCTACACTCTACACTCTACACTCTACACTCTACACTCTACACTCTACACTCTACACTCCACACTTTACGCTCTACACTCAACACTCTACACTCTACACTCTACACTCTACACTCTACACTCTACACAAAATTTGGCCGATCGGGCCCAAATTTTGTGTGGGAACTCGTGTGACCTAAGGGAAGGTGTATGGACGATAGAATTTTCAAAAATTTGCTTCTAGCAAAATTCGATTTTTGAAAATCCACGAAATTGTTTTTTAAAATGCGAAATTATTTTTTTGTTTTTGTTTCGCAATGTATACAAAGAGAACATGTTCACAATTGAAATTGACTAAATTCTAGCCCTCAATAACAATAAAATTATTCATCATCAGAAACCTCATCTGTATAGTATCTTTTTTTATAGTATTTAACAATCTCAAACCCTCATCACATAAGTTTATACTTAAATTTTTAAAATGAGTAGGACATATTTGGGTACAAAAGAAAGGGTTGTTGCAAAATAGAAGGTGGACGCGAAGCGCCCTAAAGCCCAGTAATATCACATATCCCATTCAATATCACACCTACATCACATTACATATTTCGTATCACATGTCACACAATTACTGCTTATAATATCACATAACATCACACATCATCCAATTTGATTTATATCACATATCTAATACATCATTTTAAACACGACATTTCTGTGTTAACTATATATATATATATATATATTGTTTCCAATATTATTATTATTATTGTTTCTGCCAACTTTTCGTCATGGTGTCTGATCAATCTCTTCTCTTGCAGCATATTATACATTAACAAACAATCTACTGCTTATTATTATTATATGTACTAGCTGGAGTACCCAGCTTTGCCCAGGATTAAAA